TCCTCTGCCTTGAATATCACATAAACTTCTGCCTGACTCTGATTCCTGCTAGGTCCCTCTTATAATTACACTGGGCCCGTCAGGTAATTCAGAGTATTCTCCCCACTTCAGGATCCTTAATTTAACCACATGTTAAAAGTCCCTTTTCGGGCTGGTGGAATGGCTCAGGTGGTAGAGTGCCTGCCTAACAAGCATGAGGCTCTGAGTTCAAGTCCCAGAACTGGGGGAAAAAAAAAAAAAAGGAAGAAAGAAAGAAAGGAAGTCCCTTTTGGTATACAAGATGACGTAGGTTCCAAGGTTTAGGATATGGATGGGGCATTACCCGGCCTACAGTAGTGTGCACGTAGGGAGGACTGGAAATGGTCAAGAGGGCCTTTATGAAGGAAGTGATTTGTCTGAATTTATGAGAACACATTCCTGGTGGAGAAACAACAGGGGTGCGGGAGGTGGGAGCAGTGGGATGTGGGTGAATAACTGGGTGCCAGGGGCTTTCCTTCCTTTCCAAGGCCAGGCTGAAGGAGTTTTCTGGACTTCAGTCTGTAGGCCCACACTTCCTCCAGAATTCAGGTAGGAGGGCTTGGTTGTTGTGGCAACCACAATTCTCTTTCTTCTTGGCAGCTGCTGTTCTGCTACAGGGACCCAGCCAACTGTCATGGCTCCTGCTGCTCTCAGGTGGTGGGAAAACAAATTCCCAAGGGAAAATAAATTTGAGCCATCTGGGCTGGGTCTGGATGGCCCAGAAACCCTGGTCACACTGTTCGCACAGTCTCTACAGAACACGGTGCTCACATGGAACACAAAGTTACTCCCCAGGGAGGAGGCATGGGAGGAGTCAGAGTAAGGAATGCTGGGGGAAGGGGCAAAGAGCCAGACCCCCCTGGGGGTCCTCCCCTTCCCTTAAGGGCCTCCAAGGCTGGGGAGAGGAGAAGGTGCTGTAGGAACAGATAGGCAAGAGCTGAGCTGAGCTTCTGCTGGGGACAGGGGAGCAGTGGGGTGTGGGGTGTGCCCAGCTGCTGGTGAGCACAGCTGAGTGGTGTCAGGATCTTGGTTGAGATCTCTATGGAAGATCATATTGCTCCACTGCCCCCCATCCCTCCCACCTCCTGTTTGGAAACTAGTGGCTGCGCTCTGTGGCATCCTTTTGGTACCCTCTGAGGAGATTCTGAAGTAGGGTTGGGGGATTGTTCTGGAGAAGGTCAAAGGCTCTTGGCTGCCCTGATTTTGAGAACTTTTGGCTGAGAGGGGCAAGGCTCATGGAGGGAAGATGCATTGTTGTCCCTGAGGAAGGACTGGCCCTGTGTGCAGGTGCTGGGTGACTTCTTGCCCCACTGGGACTTTGGAGCAGTAGCCTTTGGGGGAACCCCCTTACTTCTGTTCTGCCTGCCTCCAAACAGGTGTGGTGCTCTAAGGCTTCCGTTCTTGGGTGTGGGGTGAAGGGCAATAGGTGAAAGGATGATGTCAGCCTCTTGGAACCTGAAAGTTTTCAGGGAGTCATAGCCTCTCTGCCTGCCAGGAGGCTCACCCCAACCGTTCTCTCCACCTCTCCTGCCTTCCGTGCTTGGGGGGGATGGCCAGAGGGGTACAGTTGATTCCTGGAGGCTCCCCAGGACCAAGGCACTTGAGTTCCAGAAGACTCCAGGTGGGTGCCCCTATGGGAATAGCCTTTCTGAAAGGAGGAGCAGCAGCATCCCATTGCCTCAGTGACAGGAGGCCTGAGGGCGGAACACACAGGCCATCACATGTTTCTGGGGGTGCCATTTTTTTCCTGTTGGGTCAGATTGAGGGCACTGTGCTGAGGCACAGTTGGGTGGGGAAAGATGTGGGATTTGACCTCTGTCTGTTGTGCTGGGAACCCAAGGGGCTTGCTACAGCCTGCCTGCCTCCTTGCCTGGGGAGATTCAGGACGCCTTTAGGAGGTGGGACCATGTAATCTGGACAGGTGTGGGTGGAGGAAGGGTGTGGATTACATGCAAGTTTAGAGAAAGTTTTTTAAAAAGTAGAAAAAGAGAGAAACTGATTTCCTTCCCTCTCCTGCCCCTGGATCCTTAAAAAAGGAGAGAGAGCCTTGTGATGTGGTTGGGTCTCTGGTTACTACAAGGCTTCTTTTATCATCTGAGAAACTTAGAGTCTGATCCTGGAGTCTTTTCCCTTATCCTCTCTGCTTCCCTGTGCCTGTGAATCTTTGACCTGGAATCTGTACTTTGCCATGTTGTTCCTATGGGAGAGTGAGTGGCCAGAGGCTACCTAGGAGCAGGTCCACAAACAGCCATTTCAGTCTTTTAGATTGTCTTGTTGGAGGACCCAGTCTTTCAAGTCTTCCTCTGTCCCCCACAGCTTATGCTGAATCAAAGCTGTGGCATCCAGAGTGTGTGACTGATCTTTTGCTTGTGGCCCTGGCTGCTGTGAAACTCATGAGGGAGGCAGTGACTGGAGAGCATGAATTTTCTGGAGCCTAAGTGCAAGAGTTCAGGTCAGCAACTGGAAAGTGGGGATCATAATGGAGCCCATCGTGCATGCTGTTGTTACCAGGCCAAGTGGCTTACCACAAATAGAGCAGGGGACTTTTCTGCTTTGTTTCAGTCTCAGAAGGAGACTCTATTTTCAGAATGCCAGCTGAGTTTGCAGGCAGGCAGCTGTGTTTGACCAGAGAGAAGAACTTCTCCAAGTAGAATTAGGTGCTTTAAGTTTTGGGCTTGAAGTGTGTTTAATGTCGCCACCCTCATGCAATGGAGTCCCCAGAGTACAAAGAGAGACATATCTTGCAGATAGTGTGCATGAGTTGGGGGTAGGGCTGTGACGAATCCTTTGCCTTAAAGGGCTGTGTCCTGGCTGCCTGTGAAATCCATTTGGGACTTGGGCCTTTTCCATTTAGCCTCCCCACTGATGCTGACTGACCCCAGGGCTAATCTGGGAAAGGTCTTAGGTCACAACTCCCTGTCCCGTTGTTCCTGCTGGGGCTGATGGGGATAGGCATGGATGCCTGACTGTGCAACTGCTTTGAAGGACAACAGAGCCCCTCTGGAGGTCAAGAGCAGGGCAGAGCTTGAGCCTTGTGTGGGAATGGCATGGTGTTGCCCTGCTGCAAAGGGTGCAGAGATGCACAGCTGAAAAGGTCTTTGGAAGCGGGAGGAACCTGCCCTAGCAGGCTGTCTTCCCTGGGGCTCTTCTGTGAGACTCACCAACACCATCCTGACACCAAGTAATTCTACCAAGGGTTGCCCCTGTGCTTATACAGAGCCTCAGAGATACTCCCCTTCAGCTGAGACACAGTGACATTTAAAGTGCTGTGCTCCAGGGGGCCTGGCTGGATTAGTAGTGGTTGGTAAGTAGGTCTAGACACATCAGACCTTTAGCTGTGTAAAAGTATTAATTTGTTCACCATTGGTATTCATTTGCCACATTGGCCCTATGACCTCTGTCCTCAATGGCCTTATAGCCCAGGGAAGAGGGTCTCAAGCTTGTACAGTATCACACACCGAGTGCTTCAGAGGAGAAAACCCGGGAGGCTCAATGGGTATATAGCAGGCCTCCCAGGTTTGGGGACATGAAGAGGTTCCTAAAGGAGGTGACCACAAATCCAAGATTTGAAGGCTGGGGATGGCATGAGGTAGGGGGAAAGAAACAATGCCCAGGTAGAAAGAACAATGTTTACAAAAGCCAGAGTCCAGAGGTGCTGGCTTCCAGGTGGAGGCAGAGGCAGAAAAAACCAGGAGACAGTGCCAAGAGTACCTAAGAAGGTCTTTGTTGATCTCCTCCTAGCTCAAGCCCCCTGCCTGTGGCCATGTCTGGTCTGGTAGCTTCTGAGGCATCAGTTGGGCTGGGGTTAGAAGACTTGGGTCAGTAGAAGTGAGAGGGATGCCCAGGGACTTTTTACCCCCTGTAGAAATAGCAGTCAAGTGAGCAAAGTGGTGTTGGTGAGCTCTGGTCCTCTCTTTCCCAAGACCACAAGCTGAAATAGGCTCTGGTCACTGCAGATGGGCCTACCTGTGAGCAGCACCATCTGTTCAGGGAATAAAGTCCACCTGAGGCTGTGTTTGCCTCACCTGGGTGCAGTTTCCTGCCATCTGTGCTACTGTGACCCAGCTGTGCTGAGGGGAGCTTATAGAGACTCATTGGCGGCTCAGCCCGGGGGAATTTCCTGGCTTCACTGAGTCAGTAGCCTACCTACACCAGGTGCCTGGGGTGGGGCAGGCGAAAGTTGACTCAGTTCTACCACCCTCTCCTCCATCTTCTCCATCAGTGTCCAGAAAGTTTCAGGTGTATGATGAAGGCAGCAATGCCCTGAGGTTTTGTGGTCCTGGGGAGAATGTTACCCGCTTGTTTGTGTGTTGTCTTAGCACTGTAAAAGCCAGTTCTTTGCCTTTCCCTGTGTGCTGACCCTGGCACAGGTCCTGGCAGGCAGGCTCTTGGGATGTGCTTTTTGACACAGCTACCATTGTCATCACTCTACTGATGGCTTGTGGAGCATTTGCTCTGTACCATGCACCATGCTCAATCCTTGAGGACACAGCCCTGGGGTAGGCCTTATCCATTCTCATCTTACAGGTGAGACACTGAGGCCCTGACAGGCTAAGCGCTTTGCCTAAGTGGTGGGGCTGGGCTTTTGAGTTCCTCGGAAGGCATCCTGGACCACCATGCAGGTAGTGAAGGCCACTCTGTTGTTCTGGGGCTTCAAGTTTCTGAGCCCTTGTTATTCCCTGGTGTAGGCTACCTTTCTCCAGCTGGGAAGGATGGAGCTGGAGCTGCTGGAATCTGGAAGGGATGTCAGTGTTCCTGAGTCTGAGATAGTGGTCTTCTTCAGCATTCAGTGTTCAGTGACATAAGCACATTCACATTGTTGTGCAGCCACCACCAAGCTTGTCATCTTGTAAAACTGAACTCTGGACCTATTGACAGTAACTTCCCATCCCGCCATCCCCCATCCCTGGCAACATCTCTTCTGCTTTCTGATTCTGTAAGAACTCAGAGGTTGACCCTTTTGTCTCTCTGTTTTGCTCTAGAATCTTCCGGACGTGACCCCGCCAGGCAGCAATGCCAGGATGCCTGTCTCTACTACCCTCTGCCAAGATGGCAGCCAGGAGCGGCCACCAAGCCTGATGTCCACCACTTCCTCCTCTGGCTCCTCCCGTGACAGCCGCAGTGCCATGGAAGAGTCCACTGGCATTGAGCCTTCAGCCCAGAATGGGGCGGGCTCCCCGCGTGGCCGGCATGTCCCCAACAGCAACAACAACTCCAGTGGCTGGCTGAACATGAAGGGACCCCTTTCCCCATTCAACAGCCGGGCCGTGGCAGGACCCCCACACCACAAGCTCAGCTACCTGGGGCGGGTGGTGCGTGAGATCGTGGAAACAGAGCGCATGTATGTGCAGGACCTGCGTAGCATCGTGGAGGTGAGTGCTGAGGCTGGAAGGGGTGTTCATCTTCTCCAGGGGCCAGGGATGGGAAGTTGACCTGGCATATTTGTCTTAGAACATCTGCCTCCACTGTGGAGGGACAGAAAGTCCAGGGATCCTGCCCTGTGAGGACTGTTGACTGCTCGTGCTTCCTTAGGACACTGAGCCACAGGGATAGCTTGGGTGGTAGAGCTTCCTGTAGGTGTCCAGGGAGTAAGAGCTGTGATAGGAAGAGGGGGACCCCAGCCTTCTGCTCTCCAGGGGCTGAACTGCGCAGTTGCATCCAGATCTCTGCTCTGCTGTTTCCTGATCGTGGCATGTGTGTGACATTCTGAGCCTCAGGTTTGTCCTCTGCAAATGAGGGTGTATCTAATCACAGATCTGTTGTAGGTGAAATATTCCACACTGTAGGGCAGTGGGATGTGACTGCCTATCTGGGTAGAGAGGTGTTTGTGTTTGCTTGGGCTAAGTAAGTAGCAAATTAGCACTAATCTAGCTGACTTTAAAGAACAGAAATAATTTTTCTCTCAGTTTTAAAGTCTAAAATCAAGGTGTTGGCCAGTTTGGTTCCCTTGGGGGTCTTGAGGGAAGGATGTGTTCTGTACCTCTCCTTAGCTTTTTGTGGTTATGGCAATCTTGGCATCCCTTGGCCTGTGATTGTATCATCCTAATCTCCTCCCATCACCTTCTTTGTGTCTCTCTGTCCTCTCTGTCATTGGACTTGGAGCCCTCCCAAAATACTAAATGATATTGCCTCTTTTCTTGGGGGATGTGGGGGATACTGGTGATTGAACTCAGGACCTTGAGGCTGCTAGGCAAGCCTTCTACCACTTGAGCCATGCCCCAAGCCCTTTATTTTGCTTTTGAGATAGGATCTTGCTAGCTTTGCCTGGGTTGGCTTCAAACTTAGAATCCTCCTACTTCCATCCTCTGAGTAGTTGGGATTATGGTGTGCACCATCATGCCCAGCTTTAAATGATATCATCTCGAGAGTCTTGACTAATGCCATTGAGAAGAAGGTTGCTTTCTGAGATGCCAAGTGGGCGTGAATTTTTGGGTGGGCGCTATCCAGCCCAATATAGTGAGTGCTGTCTGAAATTGCATCATAGCTGTAAAATACAGTACAGAATTGAGGTGTGGCTCGGGGAGGATGAACAAGATCAAGCCAGGATGGCCCAGATCCTGACTGCCCTTCTCCATGCAGGACTACCTCTTGAAGATCATCGACACCCCTGGGCTCCTGAAGCCAGAGCAAGTCAGTGCTCTCTTTGGGAACATAGAGAATATTTATGCACTGAACAGGTATGTGAATGGGCGTGATACCGCATTTTGCTGATGAGACCTACCTTGGGACCTAGACAGAGCCCTGATGCCCCTGGATTCATGTGCTTTGACCTGTGGGCCTGGGAGCTGATCTCTGAGAATGAGGAACTCTGCCCCTGCACAAGGGCATAGCTCGCTCTGAGCTGGAGAGAGGCTGCCAGCTGGGAGAGTATGCCCTGGGTGATGCTCTTTCTGGACCAGCCTGAACCTCTGCCCTCCCAGGACTGCTAGATCCTTAAACACTGCTGCTCTTCCTTTGAGTGGCTCCCTTGTCCTTCTCATCTTCGTCTCCCATTTACAAGTCTCATAATTTCTCCTCCTCTTTCCCACTGATCCCAAGGGAAGTCAAGACTCCCTGGAGATGATCTGACCTGTTGGTGGAATGCACAGGTCAGGCAGTACTGATGGGGGAGGTTGAATAAGGCCTGGTGAGGCTACGTCAGGGCCAGGGGGCTCAGCAAGTACCTGAGTGTGCTGCTATGGGACCAAGCAGAGCTTGGGGAACAGTGTGGATAGGCCAGGGGGACCCTTCTCCCAGGCCCCTTAAAATGGAGCAAGGGACTATTGCAGCTGGAGAAGTCTGGGAGGGCAGGGAACTGGCAAGACTTAGGAAGTGGGGTGGGATGGGAATGAGAACAGAGGAGGGACACAGATGGAGGAGGAAAGGTAGTGTTTCTGGGACTTCCTACAATGCCCCCATCTAAGACCAGGGATGCGGGGCTCACCCTGTAAATCCTTGCTTCCTGTATCTTTCCCAACTGGGAGCCTTCTTTGCGAGTCCTATCTCTTCTTCCCCCTTTAATCTCTGCTTTTGTATGTTTGACTCCATCTGCCCACAGAGGAGCCGGGTCCCCTCCTGAGGTGGGTACTGGTGTCCGTGTCCCTCTTCTTTCCCTGCTTGCTGAGCATGTGGGTCTTCCCTGACTCTGGTGTGTTGGATACTTTGTGCAGTTGCTGCCTGAGGCAGGTCTCACTCAGAGGGTGGAAGCTCCAGCTGTTAGCATGACTCCAGGGCTGGCTGTGAGTTTGGGTCTGAGGGGCTGGGCAGGGAGCATGTCACTGCAGAATGCTGCAGAGGTCCTGCTTTGATGGCTCCTCTCCCCTCACCAGCCAGCTACTCAGAGACCTGGACAGCTGCAATAGTGACCCAGTGGCTGTGGCCAGCTGCTTTGTGGAAAGGGTAAGAAGGACTGGATCCTTGCCTCTTGCCTACCTTGTTGGGAGCTCAGAGACAGGACTGTCTAACACGAGAAGGCGTATGAGTCTTGGGGATCCCTCTCCAGGGGAAGGGTTTGGTGCCCTGCCTCGAATGCAAGGATATTCTGAGGTGCAACTGGGGCTTTCTGGGTAGATGGGTTGCCTTAGACAAACAGATAAAAAGATGACTGTGCAGGCACTCAGGGGAAGGGAATCAGAGCAAACTCAGGGGCCAGGACCTGTCTTTGCCTTTTCCCCTCCTTCTGATTTACATTCAAATGATAAAAACTCCCTGAAATCACTATTTTTGGTCTGTCCTTAGAGTCAAGAGTTTGATATCTATACCCAGTATTGCAACAACTACCCCAAGTGAGTAATTGGAGTGGAGAGGAGAGGCTGGGTCATCTGATGAGTCTGGGGCCACCACGTCCCCATCAGGCCTTCCCAGGCAGTGACAGCTCCTTCTTCCCACTCCCAGCTCAGTGGCTGCCCTGACGGAGTGTATGCAGGACAAGCAGCAGGCCAAGTTCTTCCGAGACCGGCAGGCACTGCTACAGCACTCATTGCCCTTAGGCTCCTACCTGTTGAAGCCAGTCCAGCGCATCCTCAAGTATCACCTGCTGCTCCAGGTAGCCCAGGGTTCCACCCCAGGATGTGGGGGCTGGGGGAGGGGCAGGGCCTTTAAATCAGGGGTTCTCAAACCCCTGTGTCCTGCACAGGAAATTGCCAAACATTTTGATGAAGAAGAGGATGGCTTCGAGGTGGTGGAGGACGCTATTGACACCATGACCTGTGTGGCCTGGTACATCAACGACATGAAGAGAAGGCATGAGCATGCTGTCCGGCTCCAGGTGCTGGGAGGCTGGGGGAGATGCAGGTGGGCTGGCATGGGACCTGGGAGAGGAAATGTGGCCACCCTGCTGGGCTGAGTGAGGGATGGTGCAGGGCGGGGTTGGGGGGTCATGTTTGCATAAGTCTCCTGGAGCCCATGAGGCCTGACCCTGGGGATCGGGGCCTCTGCTGCAGGAGATTCAGTCACTGCTTATCAACTGGAAGGGGCCAGACCTGACCACCTATGGGGAGCTCGTCCTGGAGGGCACATTCCGTGTTCACCGCGTGCGCAATGAGAGGACTTTCTTCCTCTTTGACAAAATCCTGCTTATCACCAAGAAGCGGGGCGATCACTTTGTCTACAAGGGTCACATACCGGTAACCAGGACACCCTTCCTCCTCCACTACCTCTGTCCTTCCAAAGGGCCCTGGCTCCTCTGCTTCTTGCCTGCCTCGTCCGGTTCCAGTACCATCCTTGTGAGTCCATCTTGAGGGTTGGAGGCCCCCTCCCTCTTACTTAACCACACTGTCCTGTGCCCTCAGTGCTCCTCACTGATGCTGATCGAAAGTACCAGAGACTCCCTGTGTTTCACTGTCACCCACTACAAGCACAGCAAGCAGCAGTACAGCATCCAGGTGAGGGGTGGCCAGGGTGCATGGGCTGCATATGATTCCTCATTCCCCAGTTGCTTTAAGCCCCAGTGTCTTTACCTGTAAAGCAGGCATCATTATAGGAATTTCTCAGGGTTGTGGTGAAGAGCCAAGACAACCTCACAGGCCCCAGCACAGCCCCACTTTCTACTTCTTCCTCTGGATAGAAGTATTGTTTATGCCAGGCAGCTTCGACCTGTAATAATAATATTGGGTCCCTTCCTCTTGGGCCCTCCCAGGCCAAGACAGTGGAGGAGAAACGGAACTGGACTCACCACATCAAGAGGCTTATCCTAGAGAACCATCATGCCACCATTCCCCAGAAGGTTGGCTCCCAGGGTGCTCCTGATAGGGCATAGGGAGAGCACGTCCCTTGGAGCCAGCTGCAGAGGGACTGCTGGGAGCCGACCTTCTAGACAGTGGCTCTGCTGGACAGCAGGAGTCAGTACTGGAGATGCACAGGCCACAGCATGGCACTGGGGGGTGTTCTGGTGCGCAAGGGAGGTGCAACACAAAACAAGGTCGTAATTAGGTGGTTTTCCTTCCCTTCCAGGCCAAGGAAGCCATCTTGGAAATGGACTCCTATTGTAAGTTACCCCTTTCTTCTCGTTTTATCCTTAATTGTGCACACTGCTAGGTCAGGCTGCATCCTGCGCAAGCTTTGCCTGATATTTTTATTCTAGCAGCAGGGTGGACAGGGGGCTCCTATCAAGGAGTGAGGGTCAGCTGCACAACTAGGGACTCTCAGTGTCTGGAGCCCCTGGATGGAAGACGGTGGAAGATGGAGGGCGCTCTGGAGGCATCTGGCCCCTGGAGCTGGGGTGGGTAGCAGAGGTGTGGCTTGGAATGTACAGGGCCTAGGACAAGGCTGATGGGGAGCCAGAACCTGATTGTCTCCCTCATGGATGCAGATCCCAATCGGTATCGCTGCAGCCCAGAGCGGCTGAAGAAGGCGTGGTCCTCCCAGGATGAGGTGTCCACACATGTACGCCAGGGGCGCCGGCAATCAGGTATGCTCAGCATTGGGCAACAGGCATTACTTAGGACGCTGGATGGGCAGGGGGCCATCTGCAGTAACATCCGGGACTGCCACCCTCATCTTTCCAAAAACCTGGGGAAGGACAGTGGGAGGTTCAGTGGATATCTGCAGAATATTTTGTCCCTGGGCTCATCCCGCCCTCTACTAGGCACTACGGGGGCTTCTTGTCCACCAGGCTTAGCAGCCCACCTTCTCAAGGCCTTAAGAGTGTTGGTTTATTTGGGCCTCTGCACCTGTTCTTAATTCCCCTTCCGTCTAAACCTCCCTCCTTTGCTACTCAGAATATTGAGTCAGCCAAGAGTAACACCTGTCCATTGTGGATGGTCCCCAGCCCAGTTCTGGACTGATCAAGCAGAAGTAGGGCATGAGGAAAATGAGTTAGACCAAGTGGCACCAAATCCAGACAGGAAATATTTACTTTGGGTCTCAGGAAAAAGTTCCATTTTCCTCTTTTTGGTTTTCTTCCATTACTGGACTTGCTAATGTGTTCTGAGATTTATTGGAATGAATCATCTATTTAGAAAGAAAAAAATCTTGCCTTTATTCTTAGCTCGGCAGTGATGTGTGTGTGTGTGTGTGTGTGTGTGTGTGTGTGTGTGTGTTTTCTGTGCTGATTTGCCAATTAGTCTGAGACCCAGTGACAGATCTGGGTTAAACCCGGTGTACAAGAACCATCTTATAGTCAGTTGCCTGTAGAAAAAAATTTTAGATTGACTGAGAACAGGGTCGTGGCTTGGATCCATGAGTGACTTGGGTTTTTACTGACCACAATCTTTGGGTCCCCTGAACACCTGTGTGGATTGACATGTGGGCTTGGCCTTCTAGATGGTAGAGCCAGGTGGTCTCTGGAAAGCTATTGTGTTTCTGCATTGTTTGGTGTTTCTCTGGCTGGATCTTGAACCCTAAGCTAACTTGGTGTGTTACATAAGCTTCATGTAACCAAATTGCGGGTGTTGCCTTCTAGGTCTCTGACTGTCTTTATTTCCCTTTCTTTTAGTCTTCTGTAATTCTCTTCCTTTCCCTGTAACATTCTCCCGTAATTGGCTTCTGGTACATGGAGTAATGGTAATGATGATAACACTTATGTTTTCTGTCACAACATCGCCATCAGAACTGTAGCTCTCGTGCACAAGCTCTGCAAATTTACTTAAATCCATTTAATTGTATACTTTAAATGGAAACCTATGGTATGTGAATTATATACCAATAAAATAGTCCCCACCCCAACCCCCCCAAAAAACACTTTAGCTATCCAGGGCACTCAGGAAATAAGCCATTTTACAGAGCTGAAATTTTCAAGTGGCTGAGATGTTTAGCCTGTAAATGCTAAAAGAGTCGGGTTAAAAAAAAAGCTAGCTTGTTTTCATGTTTTAGTTTTAACTCTATGAAACAAACATCTTTTTGTGAAACATACTTCATATTCTGGAGCCTTCTAAAATAAAGTTGGTCACAGTTGAGCTTTTCCTTTTCTGGAGCTTTTGCTTTTACTGCAGTGTCACTGATGGTGTGTGACCTACCAGATGCTCCAGGGGCCCAGGGTGGTAGGGCTGTGGGTTGCTGTAGAGACAGCCTGCATTTGAGGCGTGTCTGTCATGACAGTTTGTCCATAATGCTGAATGTTTGTCCTCCTGGGTCTTAGCATATGTGCCTGTAGTGTCCCTTTTTCCCCTCCTTTGTGTTAGAAATCATTTGATGGAACTTGGCAGGAGCCGTGTGAAAAGTAGATCAGGGAGTCACTGAGAGGGACTCAGGCCACATACAAAAGAGCCTAGGACCTGGGCCCAACCATCTACTCTGACTACCTTCAGGGTCTTTTCTGCTTCGTCCTCCCAGAGAGTTGAGTTGGGTAGACAAATACGTTATGGAATAAGTACAGTCTACTGCTACATCTTAAAGTATTTGTCACTTATTGAATATTCTGACTACAAGTCTTAAAATGAAAGAATATTACATTTTCTACTTCTCACTTCTTTTTTTTTGGTGGGACTGAGGTTTGAACTCAGGGCTTTGTGCTTGCAAAGTAGGCGTTCTGCCACTTAAGCCACACCTCCAGTCCGTTTTTTGCTGTGGTTATTCTGGGGGTGGGGGTCTCGTGAACTGTTTACCTGGGCTGGCCTTGGGCTTTGAACCTCAATCCTTCCGATCTCAGCCTCCTAAGTAGCTAGGATCACAGGCGTGATCCACTGGCTCAACTTCTCACTTTAAAAGCATCTAGGTGCTTACTTGTGGATCTAGATAGAGTGTGTGGATATAGTGTGAATGTGTGTCTGTTCTTCAGTATGTTCTGTTGCTGAGGGTTAGCTAAGAGACCTTGGTAGATTTTTTTTTTTTTTTTTTAATGGCTTCAAGTTTATAAAAAATCACAGCCAATTCTAACCTTTCCGCTTAACACCAGTCAGGCAGGGTAGGGATGACTAGGGGCTCGTAGAGAGGTCTCTTGAGCCAAAGTTCTCTTATCTCAGGTCTGTCCCCAGAAAGGCTGGGGTGTAAGGTGAAGACATCATCAGCCTAATAGTTATGTTTTGTATCCTGTCACTAGAGCCTGGCCACCCCCTGTCCAGCTGGGCAATCTTCCCCAGCAAGCAGCGAGGAATCACGATGTCAGGCCTTAAGTGTCGTAGAAAGTCGGGTGCGACCTCTGCTTTCCAGTCCTGAGAAGCTTGGTGGGGGAAGGGGGGGTAGCTAATGTGCTGGTGTGCTCTTTGTAGAGGCAGAGGGGGGCTTGAGGCAGAGATGTGGCTAGTTGGTATGAAGGGGGCAGCATGGGGCCCACCCTTTCTCAATGGCACCAGAACTAAGGGCCCTAGCCTGAGTGCTAATGCAGGAGCTGGGCAGTATGCTGGCTGCGGGGCTTCACGGGAATGGGAGTGGCCCAGGAAAGCATGAAGGGGCAAGGGAACACTGTGGACAGAGCTTTCTTGAGGCCCTAGGGCGAACTGAGTGGACTTTGAGCTGGTGATGGGCCAGTGGTGCTGTGAGCTTGGGATCCAGGCCAGATCCAGCTGTTTCCTGTCTGCGCTGACTCTGCCCATTTGTGTTCCTCCTCAGAGCCCACCAGACACCTGCTCAGGCAACTAAATGAGAAAGGTGAGTATGTGGCAGGGTGGCAGTCATTCCCAGGGAGTAGGAGGGTGAAGCAGGCTACAACTGAGTGGGGGATCATGGAGAATTGGTTAGAGAGAACTCAGCCTCTGTTTCTCACTTGAAGAAGGCCTCACTCCTGTTGTCTGTGGAGGAGCTTAAGCTCCCTGAAACATGCACACCTTGTGCCCTTCTCTTGGTAACAACAGGGGCCAGGCGGCATGCACAGACCTGTGTCCTTCTGTGCCTGAGCTCCTGATATGTCAGTTACCCTTCGAGAACCAGAACTGGGTGAGGGGTCTGGGAAGCTCCCATGAGGCTCCCCAGGGGCTCAGGCCTCTTGAAAGAGGTGCTTTCTCCTGCTTATTGGTCTCTTCCCCTTCCCCGCCCTCCCCCACGTGCTGGGGACCTGGTGATGGTATCAGCAGGCAGAGCAGCAGGAATAAAGGTAAGGCCAGGGGGCCACGGAGGCCTGGGATGGGAGCTGACTGGACTGAGGGTGGGATCTGGGTGGGACTGGCCAGGTCATCCCCTGGGGACCCTCTGTGCCCTTTTCTGGAGCATCACCCAGGGGTGATCTGCCCAGCCTGGGTCTTCTCTCGTTTTTCCCTCTTTGGGGTGGGCAGGTCTTTTGGGGGCCTGCATTCCTGACTAGGTCCAGCCTTCCCACTCCAAAATGCCACTGGAGGCTGGATTGGGTGTCTGGAGGTGGCTTTCTCTATAAAGTCTCCCTTCCCCAGCCACTCACAGGAGGCAGAGAGGTTACATTCAAGGCAGGTCACCAGGGATTCTTGTGCTCTGAACAGCATGCAGGCAGTGCTGGCGCCCTCCTGGACTTTGAGCAGCCACCCCATATGAGGGGTCTGCAGTCAGAAGCTGAGGGGGCTGCGCCAGAGGAGCAGGAGGAGGAGGAGGAGGTGGTGGAGGAGGAAGAGGAGGTGGTGGAGGAGGAAGAGGAGGAAGAGGAGCAGGCTTTTCCGGTCTCTCTGGAGGACCTAGCAGGACATGAAGGCAATGAGAAGGTGCCCGGGCCAGAGCCCCCGGGCTCTGAGGCAGAGGAGGAGGAGGAGGAGGAGGAAGAGAGTCTGGCAGTGGTGGAGCAGGTAGCTGACTTCGCCAGCTCCCTGCTGGCCGCCCTCCACTGCTGGCACTATCGAGCCAACGCTTTACTTTTCTCCCGGGGTGCTATGGTGAGGTGTCTCTTTGATCTCCCTTGCTCATTGCATGTTCCCTGGCATGTGAATGCTCCTCCAATGATCCCCTCCTCCGCCCTCCCCACCCTGCCCTGTTCCTTCCCTCTTGCTGCCAGCACTTCTCAACCCCCTTGCTTGTTGTCACGCCCGGGTGAGCCCCTGGCATGTACTATTGCAGGACTGGGCACTTATCAGTATAGTCCCCACTGCACAGGACTAATGGGTTGGGGGCAGCGGGAAAGGGGAAAACCAACACAAAGTGGGGCTGGAAGGTCAAGTTCACCAGGCCTGGAAGGGAGGGCGGGCAGAGCTTTAGTAAAGCTGCATACCTGGCAAGGATTTCTGCGGCCCCAGGCCTGGCAGTTCAGGTTGCTGTGAAATGGTTCAGGTTCAGGACTGGCTTTTGGCACAGCCCAGTCTCCTTGGGGTGTGGGAGGCATTGCCCATGTTGGGGTGCAGAAGAGACCAGCTCCCCATTGCCCTGGAGCTGACAGTTTACCTCTGTTTGCTCTAGGGGAAGGGTCACAGGGAGTCTGAAGGTCCCAAGAGCTTCAGAAGGCCCAGCAATCGGTCTCCAACCAGCACCGAGAAGCGCATGAGCTTCGAGTCTGTCTCTTCCCTGCCAGAGGTGAGCAGCCATCAGGTGAGGTGGAGATAATGCCAGGTACCTGGAGCCTAGACTTCTAGGTCTGTAGACGATCTTTTGGACACAGAGCTGTCTCATTGGACCCATGGGAACAGAGACTCTTCACCCCCAGACTCTTGCCCCCAAGAGGCCTGTCTAGTCTGAGGATACAGGGTTTGGTGAGCAAACCGTCCCTTCCTTGGGGAAGATGCAGTTTCATGCCAAGGATTATAGCTAGTGAAAGGGGACCATATTTTAGGCTTAACTTCTTAAGCCAGACCTTCTGTAGAGGACACAAGGCCTGCCTCTGCTAGCAAGATGTTTAAATTGCACCTGAGAGCTAGATGCTGGTGGCTTACACCTATAATCCTAGCTACTCAGGATGCAGAAATTAGGAGGATCGAGGTTCAGAGCCAGCCTGGGCAAATAGTCCTCGAGACCCTATCTTGAAAAACCCATCACAAAAAAGGGCTGATGGAGTGGCTCAAGGTGTAGGCCCTGAGTTCAAGTCTCAGTACTACAAAATTAAATTAATAAATAACTTGCACCTGAGGCCATCTGGCTGGGTATCTACTGGACATCTGTTCTTTCCTTCTTTTCCTCACAACAGCTCTAGAAGGAAAGAAGCTCTGAGAGGTCAAGTGGTGGGCTGAACTCTGGGGAGCATCTGAGGGGCAGAGCTGACCCAGACCTGGGTCTCTGGCTCAGAGCCCCACTCTCCTCTTCTCACCACCCCATGCTGTCTGTGGGTTGTGTAGAGCTGACTCTTTTGCTTTCCCAAAGTTACAAGGTCATGAGCTAGACCCTAGGAGGGCTCTCAGCCAGGATAAAACTGAAACCTGGATGCCATTGGATACAAATATAGTATGGTGTCCTACTCTGTTGAGGTTAGTATAACAAAATACCTTAGGTGCTTATAAACAATGGAAATAGTTCTGAGGCTGGGAAGTCCAAGATCAAAGTACCAGCTGGTTCTCTGCTTCATAAGCCACCGTCTTACCGTGTCCCCACATGGTGGAAGGGGCAAGGAGCTCCCTGTATCCTCTTTTGTATGCGTGTGGTGGTACTGAGGATTCATCCTAGGGGCTCATACATCGTAGGCAAGATCTCTACCACTTGAGCTATGCCCCTGGCCCATGCAGCGGCTTTTGTAAGGACGCTATTCCCATTGATGAGGTGGAGCCAGCATGACCTAGTCACTTCCCAGAGGCCCCACCTCCTCATCTTTTTTGGGCGGGGGGCAGGGGGGGAGGAAGTACTGGGGTTTGAACTAAGGGCCTTATGCTTGCTATGCTTGCTAGGCAGGCACACTACCACTTGAGCCACTCTGCCAGCCCTGTTTTATATTGGTTTTCTGAGTATAAGAGACTTGAGAACCATTTGCCTCAGGCTGGTCTTAAACTTCAGTTGTCCTGATCTCTGCCTCCAGAGTAGGTAGGATTATAGGTGTGAGCCACCTATGTCTGGCTTCATTTTTCTTTTTGAAACAGGGTCTCACTATGCAGCCCAGGCTGGTCTTGAGTTTTTTCTCTTTTTGGTGGGATTGGGATTTGAACTCAGGGCTTCATGCTTGCAAAGCAGGTTTGAGCCATACCTCCAGTCCATTTTGCTCTTTTTTTTTAAGGTTAATTTAGTTTTTGGTGGTACTGGGGTTTTAACTCAGGGCCTCATGCATCCTAGGCAGGCACTGTATTACTTGAGCCACTCTACCAGCCCTTTTATGGTTGGGTATTTTTCGAGATAGGGTCTTGCAAACTATTTGCCTGGGCTGGCCTCGAATGAACTTCAGTTCTCCTGATTGCTGCCTCCTGAATAGCTAGGATTGCAGACATGAGCCTCTGGTTATTTTGGAGATGGAGTCTGGCCTTGAACCACAATCCTCCTGATCTCAGCCTTCCAAGTAGCTAGATTACAGTTTTGAGCCACCTGGCCTGGCCTTGAATTCTTGATCCTTCTGTCTTAGTTTCCTGAGTGCTGGATTACAGGTGTGTACCACCATACCTGGCTCAGACCATACCTCTTAATAACTATCACAATGGAATTAGAATTAGTCTGGGGGGACACAATCATTCAGATCATAGCAAGTGGTGCAGTCCAGTAGTAATAGAATGTGAACCTTATGTGTAATTTATTAGTTGCTTTGTTAAGAAATTTAAAAGACACAGATGAAATTAATTTTTGTATATTTTATTTAACCTAATAGGACCAAAATATGATCATTTTAACATGTAACCAGTATTAAAGTTACTGATATACTTCATCCTATACAGAACCTTAAAAATCTGAGATGTATTTTACCCTTATAGCTTATCTGCACTGGCCACATTTTAGGTGCTCAGAAAACCAGAGGTGGCTGGTGGCTACTGGGTTGGACAGCAGGTCTAGGTCATATGTTCTGCTGTGTAGATTCTGACCAGAATAAGTGGAATCAGGGCTGATTCCTCTGAATTTAAAAGACTGCCCTGGAAAGCTGCCTATGCAGAGTTTATGGTACAAATGACCTTCAAGGTGGTCAGTCGGGGGGGAGTGCATATGCAGTTGAGCGAGACCCCAGGTGCTGAGGCTGGCTGGCAGGAGCCAGGTTCCCTGTCCTCACCTTCTGACAGTGATCCAGCATATTATCCTTTGACCCCTGGCCCCACAGGAGGTCCTGGTCCCTCAGGAAGTTGGGATATCTTCTCCCTATCACTCATATCACTGAGGCCTGAGTTTGAGCTCCAGAACCCCTAGGAGGGGATGAAGGAGCGCCTTACCATAGGGCAATGGAGTACCAGTCCTATGGCTCTGTGGGGTACCTTTGAGAGCCAGTCCCTAGAAACTGGGGCCAGTACATTCACACCTTGTGCCTGTAGTTCCCAGGCAGGCTGCCACTGAGAAATGTCACTGTCCTTGCCTGTTCCTAGTGTTTTCCTTGGGTGTGAAGACATGGGCCTAGCAACCAGATGCAATGACTAAAGGATGGTCACGTTCCTCTCTCGAAGCACTTTTGCCATACCTTTGGTCTTGCTCATTTTGATTGCCTTTGTCCTAAACTTCAGGCCCTTTCACTGGGCTCTGAGCAGGTCTTTTCCCCCAGGTCTCATGAAGGAGGTTTTTTTATTTATATGAACTCTCTCTGCTATTTCCTAGGTTGAGCCAGACCCTGAACCTGAGACCGAGCGGGAGGTCTTTGCTGCCATGGAAGGTCCCAGCACCGAGGAGATGCCTTCAGACCCAGAGTCTCCCGAAGTTCTGGAAACACAGCTTGACACCCACGAGGGGCTGCTGGCGACGGACCATCCGGATGAGGTGGTGGACTTCGTGATGGCTGAGAACACTGAGGATCTTAAGGCTTTGAGCAGTGAGGAGGAAGAAGAGGAAATGGGGGCATCCCAGGAGCCCGAGAGCCTCCTGCCACCCTCTGTGTTAGACCAGGCCAGTGTCATTGCCGAGAGGTTCGTCAGCAGCTTCTCTAGGCGGAACAGCCTGGCACTGGAGGATGGCAAGTCTAGTGGCTTTGGGACACCACGGCTAGTCAGCCGGAGCAGCAGTGTGCTCAGTCTAGAAGGCAGTGAGAAGGGCCTGGCCCGGTGGGACAGCACCACAGATTCCCTCAGCTCCCATCCCACCCCAGAAGTGGACATCAGTGTGGGGGTGGCCACAGAGAGTGGCCCTTCTGTCAATGGATCAGAGTCCCCAAATGCAGGCCACCCTGTGGAGCCTGACAGATCTTCCTGCAAGAAGAAGGAATCAGCACTCTCCACCCGAGACAGGCTGTTGCTGGACAAAATTAAAAGCTACTACGAAAATGCAGAGCACCACGATGCAGGCTTCAGTGTCCGGCGCCGGGAGAGTCTTTCCTATATCCCTAAAGGACTGGTGAGAAACTCTGTGTCCAGGTTCAACAGCCTTCCCAAGCCAGACCCGGAGCCAGCAGCTCTGCTAGCAAGCAAGAGACAGGGCGGCTCCCGGCCAGCCTCGTGGACTTTGTTTGACCTTCCAGGACCCAGCCAGGCAGGCACAGGGGACCCAGCTCCTGTCACTGATGCTGAGTTCCGGCCATCTTCAGAAATTGTGAAGATGTGGGAGAGGATGGAGTCTTCTGAGGGGAGTCCTCGGATAGGGCCAGGCCAAGTTGAGGCCAATGGCTTTGAGCTGCAGGAGCCACTCTTCATCCTGGAGGAACACGAGCTGGGGGCCATCACAGAGGAGTCAGCTGCTCCTTCCCCAGAATGTGCCTCCCCCACTGAGCAGCCCAGCCCGGCCCACCTGGCCCGAGAGCTGAAAGAGCTGGTGAAAGAGCTGAGCAGTGGTGCCCAAGGGGAACTGGTCACCCCACTGCACCCCCGCATTGTGCAGCTCTCCCATGTGATGGACAGCCATGTGAGTGAACGTGTCAAGAACAAGGTCTACCAGCTGGCCCGCCAGTACAGCCTTCGGATCAAGAACATCAAGCCGGTGATGGCCAGGTCACCCGTGCAGTGGGAAAAGGCAGTTCCTGGGAGGGACGGGAAGAGCCCCACCATCCCTTGCCTGCAGGAGGAGGCTGGAGAACTGTTGGGTGGCAAAGGTATGATGGGGGTGGGGGTCTAGGGCAGAAAAGCCAATTAGGATCCAATGCTGGGAAGGGGAACAAGGGTCAGGAGAGTGACCTGTAAAGAGGCCATGCCAAAGAGAGCACAACAGGTGTAGGGTGAGCCCTGGTAGCTGTTCTAGCACTCCAAGGCCACACTTGTCCTTCTGGTTGAGCCCTTTCTGTCCCCTCCCCCAAACCTTCCTGTGCAGCAGAGGGTACTTGGGCCCTTCCTTACCAGGTTGAGAGTAGAACCTCTCATCGTGTCCTATGACTCCTAACCCCTTCCCCAACTGCCTGGTTTTCCTTCTTCCCATCACCTTTTGATAAGGGGATAGTAGAAAGTATGTGGGATTTCTCTTCTATTGCATCCCCAAATCCCAGCCACCAGCTATGGAGGTTCTGTGCCCTCCTTTCCTGGCTCCGCCTTCCTGCACAACAATTCAGGCAGCCTGCTCTCTCTTCACAGGCAAGAGAAAGCCTGTGCTCTCCCTCAGCTGTGAGCAGCTGGTGGCCCAGGAGCACAGCCCCCCCAAGCCCTCTGCTGCAGAGTTGTCGCCACGCCGTTTCTCATACAGCCCGAGGACCACCTTGCCTGGGACTCAGCCCTCCACTCGGAGCCCTCTCAGCCCCTTCGACACTGAAACCTTCAACTGGCCTGATGTCCGAGAGCTCCGCTCCAAGTACGCCTCCTATGATGAGGCTGTCCAGGCCAAGGCCAGCTGGCCTCGTGGCCCTCCAGTCAACCGGAGCCGCTCCTTGCCAGAGAATATCGTGGCGCCTTCTCTTTCAGGCAGGGTGGGCCGCTGCTCCAGCCTGAGCACCAAGCAGGACCAGGGAGGTGGAGAGGCCTTCCTGTCCCCACCTCCTGGGTCACTGCCCCAAAGTGGACTGAATGGCGATGCCTTGTATGTCACTGCAGACCTTACCCTGGAGAACAACCATCGGGTGATTGTCATGGAGAAGAGACCCTTTTCCAGCCCCACTGTGGGGCTGAGAGAGGAGGGCAGTGGGCAGGGACCAAGCTCACCAGCAGCCATAGTTGGGCAGGGTCAAGATTTCCAGGAGTCTGCAGAGAATCAGATGAAGGAAGAGGTTCCTAGGGACCCAAGAGACCCAAGCAAGCAGGGCAGAGTGAGAAACCTGAGAGAGAAATTCCAGGCCTTGAACTCTATGGGTTGAAGACTTCCTGCAAGAGGAAGGAGCCTTGTTGGGGTGGGGAGGAAGCTGGCACACTGCCCCCCCCCCAAGTCTGGGCTCACATGAGCCAGCCCAGGGCCTCACAAAGACTGTCCCCACTGCTCTCCTGGAAGAGTAGGCTAGTGTGTGCGCATGGACTCATCTGCCCGTGCTATGTACTGGCTCTCCCGTGGGGCTGGAGACAACTTTCCTCAGGCCCAGATGAGCTGTTCTTCCTCTCCGAGGCCCTTGTAGTCACTTTCCTTGTAAATAGTTCCTCTCTAGTAAGAAGTCAAATATTTAAGCTCACCTCTGCCCAGGGAGAGCAAGTGCTGCCCAGACCTCCAGCTGGTCACTGCCTGACTGAGGACCCATGGGCAAAACCCTGGAAGTGGCCTGGACAGGCTTTGCTCTTTGTGCCTTTTCTTAGGACACAGGCAGGAATGAGGCCAATAATTTATTGCTTTCCATCCTGTGGTATGTGTGTGTGATTGAGTGTGTGTCCTCATGTTGTTTATTCCCCCCTGTGAAGAATGTAACAGACTTAGTTCAGGTACTTTCCAGGGTTGTGTTGCTGATCCATGGTTGTCGCTAATGTACACACATTTCATTATTTGCCAATGGTGCAATAACCACTGCTGACCAACCAACCTGTGTGTGGTCTCCTTACTGGGGCCCGTGGGATGGGAGGGTAGTTTGTGGGCCAGTGCTGTCTTGGGGGAGGCAAGGTAACTTGTTCTCTGCTGCATCTGCTTCCATGCACTTTGCTGTCTGCCCACAGCCTGGTGACCTGTTTGGGGTAGGGGGTCTCCCACATGCCAACCTTTTGCTCTCTTCACCAATGGTGAAAAGTTGTGCTAAAAACAAAGGGGGGCCGGGCCGTGCACCAGTGGTTCATGCCTGTAATCCTAGCTGCTCAGGATGCAGAGAGCAAGAGGATTGTGGTTCACAGCCAGCACTGGGCAAACAGTTTAGGAGGCCCTACCTTGAAAAATCTTATCACAACAAAAGGGCTGGTGGAGTGGCTGAAGCCGTAAGAGCACCTGCAAGCAAACATGAGTCCCTGAGTTCAAATCCCAGTACTATCCAAAAAAAAAAAAAAAAAAGCGGGGTGGGGAGGATGGGACAATTTTTAAATAAGTTTTCAGTGTGGTGCCTTTTCCTTGCCTCTCTCCAGTTCCCAGAAGGCATGCTAGACGGCAAGGATTCTAAACCTGGGGCCTGGAAATGTCCTAAAGTGGCTTGCAATGTTGGGGGAAGAGTGTGAGTGCAATTTAGTGGGATGGATCCTCTATTCTCATCGAATTCTCAAAAGTGTCTTTGATCCCAAAGAGTCAGCAATGGCTCCCAGTTTTCTTTTTCTTTCTTCTTGTTTTTCCAGTAGGATTGGAGTTTGAACTCAGGGCTTCACCCTTGCAAAAGAGGTGCTCTACTGCTCGAGCCACACCTGCAGTCCATTTTGCTCTGGTTATTTTGAAGAGAGTCTCATGAACTATTTGCCCAGGCTGGCCTTGAACTGCAATCCTCCCAATCTCAGCCTCCCAGGTAGCTAGCACTAACTGGGGTTTCTGTCCTTTCTCCATGAAGAACCAGCCTTGTTTTTCCCCATTTGATATGGCAGGTCCCCAGTGACAGAGTGGTCTGACAACATTCCTGTAGGTTTGCAGGGTAAGGGCCCTGCCTAGATCTTCTGTACTAGGGAGGACTCAACCTGAAATGGGTGTGCTGAGTGTCCCACAGTCATGGGAAGATTGGAGGCCAGTAATAGTCTCTTATGCAGAAGCAGAGTAGGGAAGTATTAGCCTGTGGTCTACCAGCTACCCTGAATCTTCTGTGGTCACTGCCACAGTCACTTTCCAGATCAGTCCCAGGATATGATGCTGAGTAGTCATAAGTGTACTGAACAGATGACCCAGATTCTTGTCCCACTAGGTAGCTGGGACTTCCAACTCTTGCCCTTTCCTCATCTTACAGATTGAAAGGGCTGGATGAGTCGTGTCTCAAACTCTGACGATTCTCCTGGGGTGGAGCCTGGGCAGTCCCAGCTGATCCTTCTCCAGTGATCCTTAAGTGTTCTGGCTGTCCCTGGGAGCCTTGCCCTGGGGCAGCTGTTCTCACTGGCTGTCCATTAGGATCACCTGTGGAGACTTTCCGAAACTTGGCAGTACCTATACCCTATCTACCCAGACCAAACAAAACCGCCTGCTTCTCTGGAGATGGGTCCCAGGCACAGAGGCCAGAGATTCTGGTGTCCAGAACAGGCTGGGGTCTCTGTTTGCAAACAGGCCTTCAAGGTAGCTGAATGTATGATTGAGCAAGTTGGTCTCAGGGCCTGGGTGTCAGCAGTCATCCCATAAGACACCCAGGGACAAACTATATTCTGGCTATCCCTCAGTCTCTATGGTACCAGCCCTCTGAGAACCAGTTCAAAGGGAAATAAGACTAGTCAAATATGAAACTGAAACAAATATGGAGCATTATTGATTTATTAGAAAAACTAGTAAATGGGTTTCCTCTGGTTGGTGGAAGCACGTTTGAGCAGGTGGACAAGGCCCAGTCGGGCTCCAGGGTCAGCACCCCCCCCCCCGATGGCATGGTCTAGGCCCAATGGGGTTGCATTCCTCCTCAGCCACCTCTCCTCTAGTGTTCTCCCTGAGCTTGCTTGTTCAAGGAACCAAGCCATGTGGCCCACTGGCCTCTTCCTCCTCTGGATCTCTGCCCCCTCCCACTAAAGGAGGAAGGGGATCCAGGTCCAGCCAAGGGGAACTGTTGCCCTCTGACAGGCAGAAAGGAGGAGTGGAGGGAAGGGGAAGCTGAGCCTACACAGGCCTTCTGTTACAGATGCTAGTGGAGGTATGGTGGGGGGGCTCCAGGGCCCTCCATTCCTCCCTCAGCCAGAGTCAGCTAAGGCTGGGGACTACAGGGAGAGGGAAGAAGGACTGCCTGACCATGCCCAAAAGGAGCTTCCTCTAACTGCCCTGGGGAGGAAGCCTGTTATGCTGGTGTGGACTGGAGCTGTGTTAACCCAGTTTGGGAATATTGTCAAGGAAAAGACTGCAGAGTAGAAAATGTAGGGAGTTAAATAAACCTTGCCAGGGCAGCAGGAGAGCCTAGCCCTAGAATGGCACAGGACCTCCCAAAGCCTGCAGAGTTAGCCCAGTTGAGAGTGTCTTGGGGCCTGGGTGGCAAGGGCAAAATGCTTGGGGAGCTGGCGGTAATGGTGGATCACATGCAGCTGGCTGCCCTTGCCCAATCCTGGGACCTGGGGTGGAGAAATCCTAGCTCTTCAAGGGGAGCCTTTTCTGTCTTGGCTCTGAATTCCTTGCTGGAAATTCATCACTTCAGGTGCTACTTGAGCACATGTGGAGGGGGAGGGTGGAAACTTGGCCCCTCCAATGACTGGCCCAGGGAGACACCCAAAGAAGCTTCTTGCCATCTCTACCCTTCAGCAATTAGCTGCTGTCTCCCAGTTATAGAACAAGCTGGTGGAGGGGACTCTCTAGGTTCCCTGTGGAAGCAGAAGGCTATAGGGTCTTGTTGAGGCCAAAAGACCCTGGCTATGGAGGCAGGACACCTGATCTGGGATCTCAGGCTAAAATGAATAATCTCTTCCCTCCTGTGGTTCCTGACTGCAGGAATTGGCCTCTTGCCAACAAGTGTGGGCACCACAGGGTGGAACTGTTTGAGTGTCCGCCCTGGTCAGCACTGAGGGATGCTGGGAAGGCCTTGGAACTCGCTGCTTACCCTGTGGCTCCTCCTTGAGCCTCCCCAGCTTTGCCCACACACAGCCAAAGCTCCTTCCTATGGGAAAGGCAACAGAAACAGGCTGCAGGCCCTGGGGGGCCTTGATGGTCTTCTTCCGGGACAGTGCCTGCTGCCCCCAACTTGACCCCTCTTTTGGAACTAACCCCAGTGAAGAATCTGGGCTGGAACCGTATTGCTTTTGGAGTGGAGAGGTGGGGCAAGTGCTGTGGGACCAGTAGTGGCCTCTCCCATCCAGAAGAATAGGAAGGCTCTCCTTGGGGACAGAGGCTGCAGAGCCCCTTTTGGTGCTTGGAGAAGGAAGGTTAAATGTTTCATGGTTGCTGTATCTATGTGAGTCCCTCAAGCTCAAGACCAGGCCTCCGGAGAAGCTGATCAAGAGGCCACACCTTCACAGCATTTGTCCCAGCAGTCAAGGGGTAGTTGCCTTAGCCTTACATGGTGGTTACACCTAGGCTTGGCCACATCTGCCACCCAAGGTGATAAACTGTGTCCAGTCAGTAACAGGCAGGTCACAGTGGGCATTGGCTTTGGATGCTTTACTCCAGCCGCTGGGGTACCCAGCTGGTATCTGAGACCTGCTCGCTCCCTCGGGGCCTGACATCTACCAGATATTTACCAGATATTGCTGCTTTGGCTGCCCTGGGAGTGGGGGCAGGGCCCCAGCATGGAGGGGCAGAGCCTTAGGTAGTGTCTGACTTGTCTGTTCCTCCTTGTGTCAGCCCCAAGGCTTAAACTCTAACCAAGGTTTTCCAAGAGGAATGATTCCACTGCTGCTGGTCCGCCCTACTCCACAGAGGCAGCAGGAGACTCCTTTGGACAGGACTCACCAAACTGGGGCTCTTTTTTTTTTTTTTTTTTTTTTTTTTTTTTTTTTTTGGCCTGGTGCAAGGAGAAGAAGAGACATGCTGGCCCTGAGAACAGAGTCCCAGTTCTGAGGAAGCTCAGTGGGAAGAGGGCTGGTGGTACCCAAGGTCCTGCATCTCTTTTTGTCCCTGCAGTCCCCTAGCAGCCCTTTGCCTGGAGCTGGGGCTTGGCAGCCTACCTGAAGACTCCTTCCTCCTGTTTCAAAGAGGCAGATCAGGCATTGCCAGTGTCCCTCTTCCCTCTCCCTTTCTCTGGCCATGACCAAATGGGTGGTGACCTCAAGCAAGACTTGTGTGAGTGGGCAGCATTTGAGGAACCCCATCAGCCTCCAGCTTTTATGGGGGCAGGGAGATGAGGATGTGCGCCTCAGAGAACCATTTCCAGCCCCAGAGGATCTGGGGGCCCCTTTCCTTGGAGCCAAGCTGGCTGTGTGGCAGGCATGAGGAGGGCATGTTGGCAGGCGGCGGGGAGCCGAGCCTGGCAAAGGCAGCTATTGCAGTGCAGCGTGGGGCCCCCGGGTTGGCCCAGTGACTTGAGCAGGCAGGTGACGGCAGCAGGTGGCAAGTGGGAGGAGGACCAGCTGCTGTGGAGGTCAAGGCCACAGGCTTCTGGTCCCTGCATGTCCTTATTCACCACTGTACCTGCCTAGCCGGCCCCACCCACAGGGGCCACCAGCTGCTACTTCTTTTTAGGGAAGAAGCTGAATCTCTTCTCCTTGTCCTTCTTGCCCAGGCTGGCGTCAGGGCCAGAGAGGGAGGGCAGGGGCAGGCTCTGCGCCTTGACGCGGATACTCTGGGAGTCGTTGATGGCGGTGCTCATGCCCTGCAGCCAGGACAGCATCTCCTCCTGTGGGGTGGGAGCATCAGGGCCAATTCCAAGAGGACACAGCCCTCCCAGGGCCGGACTGCCTGCTCTGAAGCAGCCCTGAGGTCCAGTGTCCTGGCTCTCCTCCACCTGCCTGGGCTAGGCCACCCACACTTACCTCATCTTTGCCATGGAAGAGCCACTCGCTGCCATTACTCAGCCTAGGAGGACAAAGGGTTTCCTGTCATGCAGTCACCTCCAGAGCCCTTTACCCGGGCAGGGTGCTGGCTATGAGCCCACTGTCCCCAGAACCCTCTTAGGCAGTGTGGTTCCTGCTGAGAGAGCTGAAAGTCTGGACCCAGAGCCTCTTCTATTTGAACAACTCCCCAAGGATGGGCTTGAACTTGGAGCTGGTCCCCTAAGGTGGACCTCTACCTGGTCACTAATGACAAATCAAGCCCTCAGGGGAGGAGGATGTTCAAAGGGTTCAAGATCAAGGTGACAGGCAGTGCACAGGAAGGCTCACCTCAGCTTAAAGACGTGTTTCTTCTTCTTGTAGTTGGCAGCAATCTCACAGACGGCATGTCTCAGGGCCAGGGGCTCCTCGCCGTGGTAAGGCACCCCCAGGGCCAGGTTCTTGGCATCCTTGTAGAAGGTCAACTCGCTATTCCTGAGCACACAGTACAGGTTGTTCCAGGACCTGCAAAGATGTGGACAATCAGGTCACCACGGTCCTGACACAGCAGCTCTATAGTCGATTCCTGTAGTCTGTTTCTTTTTATTGCACCATTATTGTCCTGATAAATTGTTTAAAAGGAGGAGGAGGGGCTAAAACATCATCTTCATGTAATTTCACTGCCAAACTTAACTACTGTTGACATTTGTTTGTATTTCCTTCTAGTCTTTGACTCCAAATTCACCTTTTTCCCCCTATTCTCATAGATAATTGAAACTTGATTGTATGCTATTCAACTTTTTTTTTTTTTTTTTTTTTTTTTTGGTGGGACTAGGGTTTGAACTCTGGGCTTTGCATTTGCAAAGCAAGTGCTCTTCCTCTTGAGCAATGCCTCCAGTCCATTTTGCTCTGGTTACTTTGGAGAGAGTCTCACGAACTATTTGCCTAGGCTGGCTTCAGGCCACAACCCTCCCAATCTCAGCCTCCCAGATAGCTAGGATTACAGGTGTGAGTCACTGGCACCTGGTTTCTAATGATCTTTTTTTGTGGTTCTGGGGATTGAACCCAAGGTCCTGCATGTGTTAAGCACAAATTCTACCACTGAGCTCTCCTCTAAGCCTCTATATTTAATTTTATACCCTGCTCTTAAGTTTAAAACACTACATCATGATATTTCTCCATAGTCAAATATTTCTTCAAAATTACATTGTATAATGTGTAGCATCCCATCATAGACATACACAATTCCTTTACTGGTGGACCTTACAATACTAGGAATTGTTTTGCTATAATTTAAATAGCAATGTGGCGAGCATCTCCCCCCAACATATTAGGGATTGAACTCAGGACCTCCAGCTTAAGGGCTCTACCACTTAAGCCAGCCATGCCTCTAGTCCTTTGACTTTTAGTTTTTGTTTTGTTTTCAGATAGTCTCTTGTCCAGGCTGGCCTTAAACTGCAATCCTCCCGCCTCTGCCTCCCAAGTAGCTGGTATAACAGGCAGGTTCGACCACACATGACCTGCAGTGCGATGGGTATTCTTATATATATATATATATAATTTTTGCTTGTAATTCTGGTTCCTTTTTTTCCCCCTGGTGCTGGGGATTGAATCCAGCTGGGTTTTGCACTTGCTAGGCAAATGCTTATAATTCTAATTTTATCTTGAGATATATTTCTAGAAGCAGAATTATAGAGTCTATGACCAACAGAGTCAATTTAACTTTTCAAAGTTAAGTTTTCTATTTTTTGGTGGTACTATGGGGTTGTGCTTGCCAGGCAGTTCTATGGCTTGAACCACATCTCTAGTCCTGTCCTAGCACTTTGTAAAGAAACAGATGTCTGCAAATCTAGGCTTGACTTTGAGGCTCACAAGCTAAAGGGCTAGCTTGAGTTCTTTCATTGGGAAACACATGGCTACATTTTTATGGTGAGGAACACTGTGAAGTACTAAGCTTTTTCTTCCTCTTTCTCTTCTCTTGCCTCCTCCTCCCTCCTTTCCTTCCTGGTGAGGGCAGGCAGGTGGAGAACTAGAAGGGCACACAGGAAAGAAGTATAGATGGGTCAAGGAAGGAATTTAACCTAGACAAAGAGGTTGCAGAGCCCTTTGTAGGAAGCCCAGCTTTCTGACTTGCTGCTCAGGGGTCTAGTCTTCCTCTAGCAATAAGGCAGTTGCTAAGAAGGACCAGGATCTTTGGAGGAAGGTTCTACCTGACTGAACCTCTCTGCAGCTCTATTTTCCCATCTGGAAATGGGAGCTTCAATATCACAGGGTGGGTGTGAATGTTTTCCCAATCCTAACAGAATGCTTGGCACATACCAGTGCTCAATGAATGTCACTGTCCCCCTTTCCTGGTGGACTTTCCACTTAAGCAATAAGCCTCTTCAGGAGGATGGGTCCCCAGATCATTCATTTTCAGAATTTGAAGTAGCTTTGTTGAATTCCCCAGGACAGGCAACTCTGTGTCTTCTGTGCATCCCTGGAACACGGCTGGTTTCCCTGCCACTCTAAATAGCTGTTAGAAGGAAGAAGCCTCCAGGGACCACGGGCAGAGACAGTCAAGAATAGACCAAACCCAAGGGCAGGAAAGGACATAGACTTTGAGTTCATTTCTCAGGATCAGAGTCACTGAATGACAGCACTAAAAGGGACTTCCAGAAGGCTCTAAGCCAGCTTCCCTAGTCATCGCCTATTTTATTTTGTTATTTTATTTATTTTTGAGACAGGGTCTTGCTATCTGGCCCAGGCTTCACTGAAACTCAATCCTCCTGCCTTAGCCTTCTGAGTGCTAGGATTATAGGTGTGCAACACCATACCCCACTTTCATCTCTCATTTTAAAGCTGAGGAAACTAAGGCCCAGATGAATAAAAGTGGGGCTTGGTCTACGACATGTTAGCACCATGACTACCTGTACCTATTACTCAGCCCTGGGATAATGGGAATGTCAACGGTTAGAGCCATTGAATCCATACCGAAAAGGCTTGCTATTGTCATTCACTGGGTCACTTGCACAGAGTCATAGGATTTGAGCTCAGGACCAGAACTGAGATAGACCTTTTCTATTATGCCAAGTGGCCCAGAGGGGTGACCAGATGCCCAGGGCAACTCCCCAAACACCCATGTCACCAAGACCAGAGTCTAGGTCACTTGCTTGAGTGACCCTAGGAGCTGCCCAGCAACCCCCCTCCCATGGCCCTTCCTCCACACACCTGTTGGATGCCTTCTTGTTGGGTCCCTCCAGGTCATGCTTGCGGCCCAGGTAGCCCTCCATCTGCACGCTGTGCCCAAGGTCCCTCTTGGTTGGCAGCATTGTGGGCTCGTCACCCTCACTCAGAGGTGTGTCCAGGACCTTAAAGAGGGGCTCTGTGGCAGGCCTCTCATCCACACCTGATTTCTCTTCCTGCACATCCTCATGCTGTCCCAGAAGGGGTGGCGGTTGCAGGTCCTGAGGCCATGGCCCCCCTTCTTCCCCCTGCTCAGGGACACAGGGGAGGAGCATACTTTCCTGGGGGCTCAGGCTTTGGGGCTGCTTTTCTTAGCAAAGCCTGAGTCTGCTTCTTTTCTGCTATGCCCTGCAGGCTCTCCCACAGCCTACCATGGGTACCCACCTGCTTCCCTGGTCTCTGGCTTCATGTCTTAGGGGTATGTTCCTCTCTCTAATCTAACTTTAGAGGGTGCCCAAGGAACCTGAAGAATTATCACATCCAGGGCTAGTGCTGAGGCTGATGGCAAAGCTAGGGCTCAGTGCCAGGCTCCGGGACCCACCCCAGCTTGTGCCACATATCCAACTGTGTGACACGTGGAGCCCCATAAATAATTCATTTGAAGAAAAGGGTCTGCTGCTAGGACAAGGTGAAATCAATCACCTTTCTGAGGGCAGTGAATGGCAACTCTTCTGCTACATTCTAATTGTGACCAAAGAGGGAGACCCAGCCCCTTCCAGGCCTTCATCAGGTTGCACAGGCTCCTCGCATTATCTGCTGGGAACTTATTGGACAGGGAAGTGGTTCCTAGTCTAATTGCCCTTGCAATCACCTTGGGGACTTTTCAGAAATATTCCCAGGCCCCTCCCTCAAAATGTTGGAGGAGTCAGCAGGCTGGTCTTTCTTGATAAGCATTTCATGCCTCTAACAGGCAGTAGGGCCCAAAATCCCTGCACAAGGTGTCAGTGCCTTGGGAAGATGCTGTGTGGTTTACCTTCCTGTGGAGGCCCGTGCCCAAACCAAATGAGGGAAAGGGCCCAGCCTCAAGCTCAGCTGGGCCTGATTATCCTTCAGGAGGGTGTCTTTGTCCAGGTATAGACCGGGGTATTCCTGGCCCCTGACTTGGGATCTTGGACACCATGCTATAGCAGAAAGAGGGGGAATCCCACCCTTCATAGCCTTATTTGCCCCTCTCACCCAGCCTCTACCCTCTACTTCCTATACTTTTACTTCCATCTCTTTCCCTTGCTTTGGGGAACTAGCCTCTGAAAATCAAGATGGATTTAGCTAGGACTGACCCCTATAATCCATACTTCCTCCTGCTTCTTGCTGATGGGTACCTGGTCTACACTTCCCAGAGGGACGTGCAGACACCACGGCCAGTAGGTGCAAAAGTTATATGCCTGGATCATGGATTGGCTTTGGAACCTGAGGGTTTCCAAAGAATGCAAAGATTTCTTCTGTGTTCCTGTTTGCATGAAGAGGATTTCAATGCATCCTATGTCCTACCCCACTCTAAGGCCAAGGTCTGAGGACAAGGAGCCAAGAATGTGAGTACAGATGAGGTGTCTGGGCTTTGGCTGGGGGAGAGACACAGATGCAGAAGATGGGGTGAGATGATGATGGGTGGCAGGAGAAGGGGGAAGGGCTTTGGGGTCAATTCTTTCTTCTCCTTTTTCTTCCCAAGGTAGGCTAACAGAGAAGGAAGAGGAGGGAAGGAGGAAGAATAAAGGGGGAGGCGAAGAGGAGGAGGAGGAGGAATGGTATCACCTTGGGGCTTTCAAAGTGACATAGTGTCTGCAAATGTTGACTGTTATAATCCTTTGCCCCTCCTGACCCATCACCTCTCTCCTTGGATCTTTGCTGAGCAGTTGTTGTGGCCAGTACCCTAGAATATGGGGTAGTCAGGACTGAGAAATGGGGAACCTCAATCATTGACCAGTAAGGCCTCAGCCACTCCTTCCTCTACCATTTTCAGTTGAAACACCTGAGGCTCCAGGGCTGTTGTGAACAGGTAAAGCACTGAAGGGGGGCACAGAAGTGGCCTGAGGTCATACAATGCTTGGAGGGGAATCAGAAGGGGAAGTCTCTGAGAAAGCATGACAAGTCACCAGATAGGGCTGAGAACAACTGGGTGCTACTTAGTGGAAGAGTCTGGTAATTCACAACTTTGTAATGAAAAGGCTTCCAGGAAGACTATACCTGGACATATATCCATGTGGTCAAATCCCTTTCTGAAGCAAAATCAGCTCTCAGAAAGTGACCCTGCAGAGGGAACGTTCGCAAGATGGTGGAGAATGAGTTGAAGGAGCTTGCTTTCATGGGTAAATCTTGCACATGGCCATGCTGGAAGCATGTGTGTGTGGTGTAGAGATCCTTATTTTGCAATTCATGAGCAATAAACTATTTCCTTGGCTGAGCACCGGTGGCTCATGCCCGTAATCCTAGCTGCTCAGGAAGCAGAGATCAGGAGGATCACGGTCAAAGCCAGCCCCGGGGAAATAGCTCGAGATTCTATCTCAAAAAATACCCAACAAAAAAAAGGGCTGGTAGGATGGCTCAAGCGGTACAGTGCCTGCCTAGCAATTGTGAGGCCTTGAGTTCAAAGCCTGGTACCACCAAAAAAAAAAAAATTTCCTTGGCCTTGGGACCTTTTATTTGTAGCCATGCTCTGACAGTACACATAGGTAGACTCAACCAAGAGGGATTAATCAGGGAAACAGGTCCCATGGGCAAAAGCCGAGAATGGCAAAGGAAGGAGAGGTATAGATGAAGTCCAAAGCTGACTTTGGACTTCCCAGAATTCTCAGAATTCTGGGGCTGGAAAGAGGCCTTGGGGGTCATTGATTCAGCCCATCCCATTACAGATGGAAAAACTGGGTTCCAGGAAAGCCCAGGGACTGCTAGGATCATAAGTGGTTGAGTAGAGACCTACCCATGCCCCAGGATGTTGAGCCCAGCTCCACTGCTGTCCAGTGAGTGTGAGGCCTGTGGTGTTGATGAGTTAGTTCCTGTCTCTCTCTAGGTCGTATCCATCAAGGGCTTCCCAGATAAGCATCTGAGTGATGACTCCATCACAACAGGGGAATCCAGGGTGAGGCTGGCAGATGGTCTGGGCAGAAGGGCCAAGTTTGTCCAGGCCCCAAGGATAAATAAGTTGGGAAAGAGAGAGGAAGAGGTGACAGTTCTCTGCCACCTCTGGAAGCATGCCAAGGACTAAGCTGGAGATCTGCTTCACACCCAGTTGAGGTGTGGTTGTAGGACAGGCAGTTTCTGCCAAGAGGCACAGGATAGGTGCTTAAGACAGGATAGATGAACTATGACCCCTGCTTTCCTCTGTGCTCTAAGGTGGGAGGTCTGCAATTGTCACCCTCAGTCATTAGGAAGATGGAGGTTTCACCTGCATCGCTGAAGGATGCCCAGCACAGAATGTCACCCACAGAAGCTCAGGACACGGTGAAGGAGGATGGTACAGCTACTTGGAGGAACTTCTGGGCATCAAGCTGGGAGTGGCATAGGAGTCTGGACCCTAAGTGGGAGTGACAGCATGGTGGAGTGGGGCTGTAAGAGGAGAGCCTGGTACTCTGATTTTGTGTACAGGCAGGGAGAAGCATCTGAGGGAAGGGCATGTACACCAGCAGCTAGGACCATTTCAAAAAGAGGGCAGGGGACAGGTGACCCCAGCTGCTGGCTGAGGGACATCAGGGGAGGAAAGGACACAGAAGAGATTTGTAGGACCTCACAGGACTAAGGTGAAACAGGAAGAAGCTCCTGATGAGAAGGGGATGGCTGCCTCAGTCAAGCAGGAGACACTTAAGTTTGACTTTTTAGGGTCCTGCCTTGCTAAGAAACTGGCTGGAGGAAGCAGGCAAAGGTTTGGGGAACTCCTCCACAGAGAATGTTCAAAACCCAGAGGGAAAGGTGGGCGGAATGGGCTTATCTCTTCTCTGGACTGAGTTAAGGTGTGGTTCTATAACTTGCCAGCAGGTGGCGAAGGGGCTGCACACAGACAACTAACTCTCCTGGACAAAATAACAGGGCTTAGGACCACAGGGTCTTTTGGAGGCTCTGAAGATGCTCAGTGAATAGAGATACATTCACAAGCAAAGAAACCAGGCGACATGATCTCCTCTCTAAAGGTAATACTGGTAAGTGAGAACCAGGGCACAAGATGCCCCTGAAAAACAGATGGTTCAACTTTGGTTATGCAGTGAGTTTGCTGACATGAGCCCAGAGTGTGTGTAAAGGAGGTCTCAAGGATGGGGGGGCTCCAAGCAGGTTGGCTTGGGAGGGACTTGGTAATATTACAATTCATAGGGAAGACGGTTCCTTTAAGAGATGAAAGGCTTAGATAGGGGTGGAGAAAAAATGAAGGGACTTAAATGATTACCTGCTAAGTTCCAGATGCTCCAACTGCATTCTCTCTCTTCTGAATCTCACAGTAAGGCAGGTGCTATTGCTACCTCTGTTTTACAGATGAGGGAACTGGGAGTCAAAGGGAATAAGTAACTTGCCCACAGCCACACATCTAATATGGAAAGTGAGGCTGCAGGTCTGCCTGGCCCCAAATGTGGTAATCTTCCTACCTGGTCCTGCTGTAAGACGGGGTGGTATCATCACTTCAGAGCAAAGCACTCATCCTGTGGGGGACATGGTATGAATGAGGTGTGCCCAGTTCATGTAAGACATGTGGTTAGTCTGTTGAGGTGACACGAGCACCTGAAGGCTGCACTGAGTGGTGCTTGCTTGGGGCCAGACAAGAGCCATTGTTAGATGCTTCAGGCAACCAAATAGCACTGGGAGTTTGTGGGGTGGGCAGAGCCTTCCCTTGCATGTGATGTCTTGGTTCCTGTGCTCTGGGTGAGAAGGGCTATCTAGAAGGGGTGGGAAGGCTGTTCAAAGATAGTTGCTTGCTGGTGGAGTGGCTCAAGTGGTAGAGCTCCTGCCTAGCAAGTGTGAGACTCTGAGTTCAAACCCACAAAAAAAAAAAAAAAAAAAGCAAAGAGAGTTGTTTGCAAAAAAAATGTTTTGTTGAGTTGAAAACAGTCAAAGAGATGAAGAGATGGCAACTTAGAGTGGGTAGTGACAGATGTCCCATTTGAGAAAGCAGAGGCTGTGAGGAACAGGAGGAAAGAGCCAGGGAGGTGCGGAGGCTGGGGCAGATGGTGAGTGGTCTCCTGGATTGCAGGCTAGGAGATGGAGAGATGCTGTCATGAGTTGTGGGGTGAGGGGAGCAGAGCAGCTCAATCCCACATTCCACGGTCCAAACGTCTATACAAGATGGCAACTATGGAACTTGGACAAGATTCAGAGCAGGTCATTTGCTGGAGTGAAGAAGGGGGGGATGGTTAAGGGCAATTCACAGTGTTCCCTTGGATGGGGAGGAGGAGACCTGGTCTACTGTCACAGGATGGGGAGAGAACAAAGCTTCCTGGGGAGCTGTCTTCACCATGCTCATCACTTGTGTGGAGTCTTTGGATTCCTGTCCTGGAGAAGCAGATGGCTCCAGTGAGACCCAGAGCCAGCCACTCAGCATGAGAAAGACTAGAGAGAGTTAGAAGACACAAACTCCTATGTCCAGATCTGTCACTCAATGGTCAGCTTCAAACTCATTTCTGAGATGCCTCCTATGTTAAGTGAGTCTCATTCTGAGTCCATGAGTACCTGAGATGCTCTGAAATGCAGCTTGAAAGAAACAATTTAGGAGTGGGTGCCAGTAGTTCACACCTATAATCTAGCTACTCAGGAGGCAGAGATCAGGAGGATCGTGGTTCAAGGCTAGCCCAAGCAAATAGTTTGCAAGACACTATTTTGAAAATACCCAACCCAAGAAAGGGGTGGAGTAGTAGCTCAAGGTAAAGGCCCTGACTTCAAGCCCCAGTACTGCAAAAAAAAAAAAAAAAAAAAAAAGAAACAATTTATGAAAAGTTTTTTGGAGCACAGGGGCCAGGAAGATCACATCTGGCCTTAGCAAAGAGAGCTGTGTATAGCCAGCAGCGGGCAGTTGTCCAGAAAGAGAGCAGGTTTCTCCAGGGAGCCAGGGCGCACTGCCAGCCTGCAGGCAGACACACCCCTGCCGTGCTGACTCAGGCTCCTGGGGAGACAGGGACACACCCAGGTTTGGGGAAAGCTGATGTTCGCTCTAGGCTGAGTCTGCCCATTATGAACAAACACAGAATTTGCATTCGTTGCAAAATGTCTGAAAAAGCCATGAGTATGAGGGGAGGGGAATGGACTGGAAAGCTTGTTCGGGCAAGAAGAGACACAGCTGCCGCACCACACCCACATCACTTCCATCCAAGGACGTCAGAGCCGTGCTGCTGCCTGCTGATTACAGTTCCGGGATGCTAGGAAGGCTGTTGGAGGTGGGGAGATTGTCAGGGGGTGACAGCAGCTGGAGCCAGCCAGGCCCTGGCTGAGAGGTGGTCCTGGCTGCAAGTCCAATGCCTGCACAGTCCCTTGGGCACTGCCCCTTATGTTCACAATTGCTGGCTACTTTCCAGAAGCCACACAAACCTCTGAGATCATGGAAGGGAGAGGCAAGGGACCTAGGAGTCCCAACTAGGTTTTGCCCTAGCGATCTGCTCAGTCCCCCTGTCTGGGGATGCTGACTGTGCAGAAGGCTTTGGAGGGCCACAGGAGGTTTCGGAGGGCTTGGTGCGCTTGGGTAAGGGTTTTCCTTGACAGCCTGGAACCCAGATCACTGCTCTCCAGAGTGGCCTCTCATCCCAGGGCCCTCTCTGCACTACAGACTGGATTTAGCCTGTGGGCTTGGAGGAAGACAGGGTATGTTTGTTCCAAATAGGGAAGGAAACTCTTATGGTCACAGCCCTTAGGAGCACCAGTCTTTGAGGAGCATCATTCATATCGTTATGGCAGCCCTGCAGGGTTAAGTGCCTAGAGCAGACTCAATTTCCCACTGCAAAGCCAGAAAGTAGGTTCTGTATATAGAAGGTGGCCTGGGGCCCTTTAGCCTGGAGTTGACTCATCCTCTTTGACACCATGGAAATGGGTTTCCTTCCCTCCCGGAGAAAAAGTCTAACCACAAACGCTACACTGGCCTGGAAGATGAGGGACACTCAGCCAGACCCCCAAGGCCTTCTCAGGTGAAGGGACTGGTGCATAAAGTGGAAGGTGTGGAGGTGAGGGCACCCCCAGCCAGAATGTCCTTCTGCAGTAGACCCTGGACAGGTCTGCCTGACAACTGCTGCCACAGGCACAGAGAGGAAGCTGCCAGACCCCCTCAGGGCAGTGGCAAAGGTCCAACCTGGCTCTTTCACCAAACAGGGACAAAGGCAAACATCATGGTCCTTTTCCCTCTTCTTCCCCATCCCAGCCTCACACTGGCCAGCACCTGACAAACTTAGGCACCTCAGAACTAAGAACAGACCAGAGGAATGTAGGAGAACCACCTTCCACAGCCCCTCCCTTGACCTGCTACATTGCTGACACTCAGGAATGTGGTGTACTTTCTGCAATCCCACAGAGGCCTTTATAAGGGTAAGAGACTCTGGTGGACTTTCTAACACCATGCAGAAAGTCCCAACAGAGTGGGTGACCAGAACCCAGACATCTTGACTTCTGCTCCAGCAGTTTTGTCCTTTGTGAGTGACACCTTGTGTCTTCTGCCTGGACTCCTACACACTTACCTGTGGGAAGGATTGTTTTTTACAAGGACATGTTCTAGTGTGGAGAGGTCAGAGGTGAGGGACGGCAGTAGCACTGCACAGTGATGGGATGGCAGTGCAGTCACCATGTGTACGCATGTGCGTGCATGCACACACAGAGGAAGCAGAGGCCTGGGGTGGTGGGGCTTGTAGGGCGGCCACCCTGTGGCATGCAGCCATCAGACAGGGCAAGGGTGCCTAGTCCACTCCCATTCATCCACCCAGCAGGAAGCAACATGCACTAGTAGGAAGCAACATGTATCTATTCTACAGGAACCAACATCAGACCACAAAGACAGGAGCAGCAGGACAGCCACTGCACCCCAGGTCTATCCCAAAGAGAAGGCACAGCAGGTGGCCGAGCCTTCCTGGGATGAGCAGGGGTTCAGTAAGGGGGCAGTAATGGAGCTGGCTGATGGGGCCAGCAGAGGGCTTTGGGAGGAGCCTTCCAACGCTGGGTTGGACTTTCCCAACCTGCATGGGCTCCATCCTCCTCTTTCTCATATCAAAGATGATTGGGTGTTAGACGTTTCATGGATGCTCATGAAAACTTAAGGCTCAGGAAGGAGAAGCAGCAGGGAATCTGTTTCCAGGAGGCCTTGGGCCTGGTGTTCGTTTGCTTCACCATCTGGCTTCTTTCTGGTCCAGGCATGGACCTGTTTTCCCATGTGGTAGAGTGGCTGGCTCTCTGAGAAGGGTCTCAGGTGTGGGCTCACTCCTCCTCCCCCAGAGAGACACTTGGATTCAAGCAGGTTTTATTCCCCCCAACACAATGACATTCAGGTGCTGGATGGAGGCAGCTCTCTGCACACGTAATTACACTTGCACGCATATACACAACACAAATGGTGGAACTGCTCAGGTGGACACGAGGACGCCCACACACCAGGGACACCAGGGCATGCAGACATACAGGGATGCAGGGCAGAAGCGCAGGCAGGGGCAGGAGGCAGGCACAGCCCCAGCCCATGTCCGCAGTCCACAGCCCCCAGAGTTCTCTCTCCCTCCGACTGGGCTGGTGCAGGGAAAATGGGGCTGGAAGAAGGCTGTCCACCACAGATTAGGATGATGGGAACTTCAAAGGGATCTTCTGGAAGATGCCCTCCAGCAAGGTTGACAGTGCCCTCTGCTGGGCATAACGGGCTGATACAGCTTGAGAAGGGAGGCAGAAGGAGGGTGTGTGTGTGTGTGTGTGTGTGTGTGTGTGTGTGTGTGTGTGTGTGTGTGTGTGTGTGTGTGTGTGTGTGTGTGTGTGTGTGTGTGTGTGTGTGTGTGTGTGTGTGTGTGTGTGTGTGTGTGTGTGTGTAAATAATATCCAAGCAGAACAGGGATTCTGCACAGGGAGAGCTTACTAAATGTGCATTTTTCTGGTGTGGTTCATGTACTAGAAGCTTCTGTTGAGAATATTAATTTTTCTGAAATTCTCAGAGATCAGGCAAACTGATCCAGGCACCTGGAGAGGTGGGATACTTGAAGGATCTGTTGCTCCCTTGATCCCCCAGAGCTGCATCCCACAGGGGCTCTGTGAGGCTGGGAAGCCATGCAAGCTGCATGCAATTCTTGCCTTCTTCTCCCCAGAATTTTTCCCAACCTGGTTTTACCCCCTGACCCCAGGCTCCCTGGGAAGACCCACTCCAGGCAAGTCCCAAAGCCATTTGCACCAGGGCCCTGGCAGCCAGTTTCTCCTGGACTCTTCAGTCAGGTCTCTGGCTCATCTCCTTTTCTGTAAATTGGGGGTCTGTCTCTTTGTTACCCAAAACCTTGGGGTTCTCCCTCACCTGTGAAGGATTCCAAGTCCGCTTTTGCCTCAGATCAGCTCTTTCGCTAAACTCTCTGACCCACAGCCAGATGGGTGGAAAGAGGTAAAGAGCTCTGCATAGGAGGGAGTAATCTGCTAGAAAGGTGGGTATCCACACTTGGCTCTGAAAATCCATCTGTCAGAATGGGACCATCTGTTGGTTCATGTATATGTGTTATATGCAGGGTTCATATGGAGGGGTGCTGTGTTGAGCACAGAGTTAGGAAAATTCGGGGAAAGGACAGCGTACAAAACCGAATAATTTCTGTATAAAGTGCTTCCCCTGGGGTAGATGGTGATGTATTTATACAACAGAATTTATTAGACTAGATAAAACCAAACTAGTAGAGTTATGTCAGTGGGCAGGCATGTCAGTTGCTTCTGGGGTGAAAGGAGGAGAATTATTCTAAGAATTAAGAAAACCTAAGTAAAAAAAATAGACTGTGTGAATGAGGTTTCTGGAGGGGCAGAGGGAGAAGGGTGGGGGTGGAGTGCAGGGCAGTGCACCCCCTCTTGCTTTCTTTCTACCCGGGCTGAGTCTAGTAGGGGTGAGCGGGCTCTGGCAGCAATGACTCCCAGGAACTAGACAAACGGGACAGGAAACTGACCGGGGATGTTCTCTCAGTGGCTGCACGGTGGCCTTGGGGAGCCTCTCCTGCCGTCTCGCCTTCTTCCTCTTGAGGCCTAAGGAAGACACAGCCTCTCTTTAGTAACAAGTCCAGATCTGCCCTTACCAGCAACACAGTGCGTGCACCACACATCTTGCCACTGGAATTCTGAGAGGTGCTCAGCAAGGAGCTGCCCAGAGTCTTGATGGAAAAGTGAGGCAGATGCTTCCCAACGGACATGTTCCATGAGAGATGGCCTTGGGGCAATATTCAGGGGGTTCCCCAAGGGATAGCCCAGCTCAGCAGCAGCCACTGCTGGCTACCCCTTCCTTCCTGTGCTGGGCTCAGGCACTGTGACTGGGAAACACAGCTCTCAAGCTTGGCATACTCTGTCTGGGTTTCACTGATGGGGCCCAGGAGTGAGAGGTCAGATGTGTCTTGTTCAGGGGCAAGTTTCTGACCAAAAGCTGCTGCCTTCTTCTTCCCATCCATCCATCCCCACACCCCCGTCATGGTGGACACACACGGTTGACCACCACTCACCCAGGCTCCTCTGCAGGTCTCTCAGGGATCTGGCGCTCTTTAAGCTCAAGCTGGGGGGAGGAAAAGGCCAAGAGGTGAGAAAAGCCACAGAGGGAGGCTGTGTTCTCAGATGACTTCTTTATGCACAGCCTTGACCCTGACATACCCCTTTTGTCTTTGGTAGTCACTGGTCAGTGTTTCCTTTTCACGACCGCACACACTCTTATACCAGTGTAGGTGCCTCACAACTGGGTGATTTTTTGCATTGCAACCCTCCCCCCACCAACATACACATACCAAGGCACGGCTGCCATCCCCCCCAGCCCTGTAGCTAACCCCAACTCACTGTGGTGGGTTTCTCCAGGGCAGCAAAGCGCTCTGCCCAGCTGGCTGTGGACTTTTCAAAAGCCTCATGCCTTTTGATCAGCTTCTCCACGCTGTCCACTGTGTGTCCAAAGTCCCGGCTTGCCAGGTAGGGTTCCTGGGCAATCAGCCATGCTTCGGCCACAGAGGCATCCCTCGAGAACTGGCACACCTCCAGCACTGCCATGGGAACAAGCCACAGACCCACCCACAAGGCCCCCGGGCTTGTTAGCATACAACAGTACAATCCTGCAGAAACCTGGGGCAGCCCAGCAGACACGTGGTAGACAGTGGCCAGCCAAGAGGGCCAAACTAGGGTCCCTAAAGTGCATGGACTCCCTTGTTCAGCGGTGCCTCCTGCCCAAGGCCACTGCACCCTCACACTGGGGTCCTACCCATCTCTATCAATAGTCATATTTTGAAATCAATTAATTGGAACCAACTTTTTTTTAAATGGGACTGGGATTTGAACTCAGGACTTTGCATTTGCAAAGCAGGCACTCTACCACTTGAGCCACATCTCCAGTCCATTTTGTTCTGGCTATTTTGAAGATGAGTCTTGTGAACTATTTGCCTGATCTCAGCCTCCCAAGTAGCTAGGATTACAGGCATGAACCATCAGCAGCCAGCAAGGAACCAGCTCTTTTGCAAACAAAATGCAGTTTAGATGCTTCTCTGACAAGCAGTCTTCTGCCCTGAATTCTCTTCCTAGCCCTTGTCTGTCTCACATAATCATAGATAGGCAGTCATGGGACCATTTCAGGCTTTCCTTCTTGGCTCAAGCTCCTACCTGAGAGGCGAGATTTTCTCCACCTCTCTTTGGCCTCCAGCTGCCGATCCTCTACACAGCAAACATCCAAGAGGCACAAGAGTCTGCTCCAACCCTTCCCCAGACACTGTCTGACAGATACCAGCCAGGGCACAGGTGGTAAGTGGGGAGGAAGGGAGGGGGTGAGCATACATGTCCCCTGGGACCTTTGGGCCCCCAAGGTCCTTGGCCCAGAGCTTAGCCAATGAGTGGTGCTGTGGGGTTTCTCTGTGAAGTGGTGAAAATCCACCCTGTTGTGGCATACCCTCCCTTCTCCTGCTCTGGAGGGGTCTGCCACCCAGCCCCCAGTCCCTGGGACCCTGAGTGGCACTCACACATGTTGAGCCGATCAGAGCGGGCCTCCCACTTATCATTCATCTCCTGTCGCCTAGACACCACCTGCTGCAGTTTCTCCCGGATCTGCAGGGAGGGAAGGGAGAGAAGCTCAGGCTTTGGTAACTTCCCTCTGTCTCAGGCTGCGCAGGTTGCAAAGAATGTCAAGCTTGGTCATGCAATCCTGGCTTCAAGTCTTGGCCCGGGAACTTGCTAGCTGTGCAGCTTGGGCAAGTGACTTAACCTCTCTGAGATATCTATATGCATCTCACCTATGAAATGGGGTCACTAATTCCAAAGTGTGCACACACGTGGGCATTGGCAGGCAGCCTGTTCTCTTTTAGTGTGGCCACTTCCATAAGGCAGGGAATAAGCTTGGTGTGGCTCTGATTTGTGTAGCCATAGGGCTCCATGAGTGAAAGACGAGCTCGTCAGAAGCTGCCTGGCCAGCAAGCATGGCACAAGGACATGGACAGGCTCACCTCCTCGAGGCCTGGTGTTGCCTCTGCAACAGGGACTCCCCAAGTTCCAGGCAGGTGCTGAAGTTCTTGCCCCGGGTGTTGATCTCTGCCTTGATGCCCTGGTGATACTTCAAGAGCAGTTCCACAGAGGAGACATCCCTGTGGGCAGGAGGACAAGGGCGGAGAGGCAGTTTGGAGAAGCAAACTCTGGGCCACCCTGGCAGAGGGGGCTACCTCCCGACTGCCTTTGGGAATCTGAGCATGCTCCCTCCTTTCTCTCTGGCCAGCCATGATGTCCTCTGCCAGCCCAGCCCCAGCAGGAATACTAATGCCCTAGTGTCTCCATTGATCAGTAGCCAGAGCAGGGACAGAGGGTACAGGGACTTCAAAAGGAGCCTGGGAATATTATTTGGCAATAAAAAGGAGTGAAGTACTGACTCATGCTACAACATGGATGAACCTTAAAAACAGGCTAAGAGAAAGAAGCCAATAATCACAAAAGATGATTTCTTAGGGGATTCCATTTATATGAAATGTCCAGAATAGGAAAATCCAGAGACAGAAAGTACAGCAGTGGCTTCCAAGGGCAAGGAGTGAAGAATGAGAGAGGCAGTCAGTGACAGCTGATGGGGATTTTTTTTTAATGGTGATGCTCACGTATCTAGGAATATATAAAACCCTCTGGATGGTACACTTTATTTTTTTATTATTTTTTTTTTTCATTTTTCTTTTATTATTCATATGTGCATACAAGGCTTGGTTTATTTCTCCCCCCTGCCCCCTCCCCCTCCCTTACCACCCACTCCACCCCCTCCCGCTCCCTCCCTCAATACCCAGCAGAAACTATTTTGCCCTTATCTCTAATTTTGTTGTAGAGAGAGTATAAGCAATAATAGGAAGGAACAAGGGGTTTTGCTGGTTGAGATAAGGATAGCTATACAGGGCATTGACTCACATTGATTTCCTGTGCGTGGGTGTTACCTTCTAGGTTAATTCTTTTTAATCTAACCTTTTCTCTAGTTCCTGGTCCCCTTTTCCTATTGGCCTCAGTTGCTTTAAGGTATCTGCTTTAGTTTCTCTGCATTAAGGGCAACAAATGCTAGCTAGTTTTTTAGGTGTCTTACCTATCCTCACCCCTCCCTTGTGTGCTCTCGCTTTTATCATGTGCTCATAGTCCAATCCCCTTGTTGTGTTTGCCCTTGATCTAATGTCCACATATGAGGGAGAACATACGATTTTTGGTCTTTTGAGCCAGGCTAACCTCACTCAGAATGATGTTCTCCAATTCCTGGATGGTACACTTTAAATGGGTGAGATTATGAGCATTACATCACAATAAAGATGTTAAAGATGAAAGTATGGCCATCGAAACAGGCACCTTGGGGGCAGAGGGACAGAGACAGTTCACCAACACTTGCTAAACTGACACAAACTGGGTAGAGGTTGAACGCAGCTGGGTTCTCACTGGTCATGAGCCTGACCCCACCTCTCATGGACAGACAGCAAGCTCCATCCTCAGTTTTAGGAGGAGTGGTCTCCCATCTCCCAGAGCTGGGGGAAGAACTAATCTGCCCAGCTCTGGCTCTGTGAGTTGCTTATTTTCACCGAGAACAGAGTCACTGTCCTGGTGGAGAGTCTGAATGAGTCTTTTTCCCATTATGCTGAAATGGTCGGTTTTCCCAGTAGAAGCTGAGCCACTCTACTTTCACCTGGACCCAGCTCAGGTCTCTTGTGCCCCTCAGGGATTCCCGCACCCAACAATTCACAACTGTCTCTCCAGGAAGGAGCCCTGGGCTGCCAGCTTCGCCTGGCATGGAGCAGAACTGCTTTGAGGATGCCCCTCTCACCTGGGCCTCTCCTGGGTCTCAATCTGCCGGATGATGCTCTCCATCCAGGAGAGAAGGTCACGGGCCATGCTGAAGAAGCGGAACTTGTCTGCCGTGTCCACTAGCTGGGCCCGGCGTCCAGCACAAGCATCAAGCAGCGCCTGCCAGGCAGCAGACACCTCCTGCTCCTTGCTCTGGATTGCATCGGCCTTTTCCCCAGCATATGCTGTCTGCAGACGAGTGGCCACATCCTGGAACTGCTGTACCTGTGGGCAGGCAAAACAAGGCACGTTCCCTGGACAGAGGCAGTGAGTAGAAGGGCAGTGAGTAGCCTCTTCCTGGCTCCTCCCCAGGGCACCACAGGAAGGCAGGGCCTCCAGCCTCCACCCAGTGGGCACTGAAGGAGAAAGCTCTCTGCTTTATTTATTTATTTATGTACTTATTTTTTCTTTTATTCCCATGTGCATACAATGTTTGGGTCATTTCTCTCCCCTTCCCCCCGCCCCCAGCTCTCTGCTTTGTTACCTCTGTCTGCCCAGGATACCTGTTGGCCTTTAGTAAGGATTCTTGGGTGGGACTCAGTGCCCTTTGACCTCCCCAGCAGTGCAATGAGAATAACTACATACCAGACACCGTTCTAGAAAGTTTATAGTAACTTACAAAAGAGGTGCCATTATCACCGTTGTGTTGAGCAGAGGGAACCAAGGCCAGGGAGGCTAAGTGGCTGTCCCCAGGTTCTTCTCACTAGCCAAGAGGATAGCTGGGGTTGGAGCTGTGCTTCTAGACCCTGTTCTTACCTACACTCTCCAAGGAAGGCACTATACCAGATCCCTGGCTGAAGCTGACCCCACGGAAAATGACCCCAGGGACATTACTCCTGAGACCTCAATGGGGCCACACCTGTCTCAGGGTCTCTGGCACCTCTAAAGGCAATAGTCATATACCAGGCCCCATCTTCAGCTGGAGGAAAATTCCTAAAAGGTTCACTTCCAGGTGAACCTGAGACCAACCTGCCTCAGTGTTCTGCCCCTGAGCCCAGCTGGACTGGCTCAGGACTGCACAGCCAGCCCATCTCTTTCTACTAGAAGCCTGGGGAACTCCCAGCAGCTGGAGACTTGTCCTTTGACACTGAGCTCTGGGGAACTCAAGGGATCTTCAGAGGTGCCTCAGGGTATACCCCAGTGATCAGGGAGGGGATCTTGACAAATCTCAGGAATGGCCAGTTCCCACTGGAAAGGCTAAACTGCCTGGCAACTAAGCATGTGGGGTCTACAGCCAGATCACCAGGGCCTGAGTCCTGGCTCCATTGCATGTCTGCAGGTTCCCAGGCAACTGACTAACTCTTTGCACCTTGCTTTCTTCTTCTGTGAAATACAATGTTAGTACCTCCTCAGAAGAAGGCTATGGGGATCCAATAGTACCTGGCGTTACAAAAGTGCTATGTCAGAGATTGGACTGTAAGGAATCTTATTCACTGGCTTCTTGTGAAGATTCAGTTTAAAGAACTGCTTCTGAAACTAAAGGATATCTGAAAGCCACTGCTCCCTGCGCCCTGAGCCGCTGGTTCTCTAAGGAAGACAAATCTGTGCCCATTTTAGACATTTCCCTGTAGGAGCTGGGTGGGGCCCACACACCCTGGGCACCACTGTGGGCAGCAAGGGATAGACAGCACCTGCACGCCCAGCAGGTGGAGCTCCCGCTCAAAGGCGGTGTGCACCCGGTGGAAGGACTCAGCCGTGCTGGCATCCAGCCCCACGTCCTCTGGCAGCTCACGGTGCTTCTCATCAATGAGGCCCAGGATCTCAGTGCCAGTGTAGAAGTAGCGGTGTAGGTCATAAGAGGCGGCCAGCAGCTGCATGCGTGTGTCAATGAGCTCTAGCAGGTCAGCCCACATGTCATTCAGCCCGTCCTTCCACTCGGCAATGGTGGCTGCCTCGCTGTGACCCAAGTCAATGAGCCGCTCAATGAAGGCATTCACATTGTCCACCCGCTCCTGCCCAATTGCTCCAGTCTCCCTGGCGAAGTCCCGGAACTTGTCTCGGAGCATCTGGACATGGGGTAGACAGAAATGCAGTTAGTGGGTTCAGCGGTAAGTGGGTGACATTCCTTATGCTACAGAGGTTCCTGGGTGGCCACTATGACCACCTGGAGCTGGCTCTCACACCTTGCCCAGGTGGCCTAAGTCTCCTTTATCACCTCACCCTGCTGAGACTGCATCTCTGTGCAACACTCTGTAACTAGCAAGGGGGTTGTGGAGTCTGGAGGGATGGTAAGCTGTGTCTACTGTATTAGAGAAAGGACAGGCAGGAGTTGTAGCTACTCACAGTCACGTGGTCAAAGTCTTGCCCCATTTCTTGGGAAGAGGCCACCATCTCCTTTTCTGTAATCCACTGCTCCAAGTCATCAGCCTCCCTCCTCAGCTGGGACTGGTAATAGGTGTTCTCCAGCTTGCGCCCACGCTCTTCAGCCATGTCCTTCAGCCCTGCATATTGCTTGTCCACTTGCCCCTGAAGTCTGATTATCTGTTCCCTGGAATTCAAATCAAGAAATCCCTTACAGATGGCAATCAAGAACCTGGAGCCAGCTCAGAGGAACTGACTTCCTCTTCCCCAAACCCTTGCCAGGGACAGGAAGGGGAGTGAAACCTAAGAAAAGTGACAGTGACTTTCTCTAGGGAAGAGTTGGGGAAAGGGAATGACCACTTAGGCCACGACGCCTTAAGGGATGGCAGGAATGTGTCCTGGAGTTCTGTCCTGGGGTGGCATCTTCCACAATGTCTTCTAGGAAGGCTCACAGATTCAAGTTCAAAGGGTGGACTCCACCATCCTTCCCAGAAAGCTGGTAGGGCATAGCTCAATCTGAATGGGGCTCCGACACAGTGCCCCTGCTTGGCTTTTCAGGGAGGGACAGACTGAGGCTCCCTGGGAGATATGTGGGTGACTCCTGTGGCCTGGTCCTTAGTTGTGGCAGCTAAGGACCAGACCACTACTGGGACAGCCTGAGGAGTCTAGCCAGTGGGCTCCCATTTCCACAGACTCCAGACAACTCAACAGTCCAGATGGGTATTTATGGTTTTTCTCCCTTCACTCAAGACACTGTAAGGTCCCGAAGTAACCTTCTGAACCATAAAAGAAAGCGAACTTCATCTTCAGTGACTCTGAGCATATTTTATGTCTTTAAAAGACTGGAGCTCTCGGTTCACCAGGAGGCAGCTTTACTATTCCATTCTCTGTCTTTATGCAAACCAGGTTTTAGGTGGCTCGCTTTGGAGTTCTTCAGACAAATCAAGGCATCAAAAGGAATTGGGCCGATCAATAGAAACCAGAAACCTCTATTTTGGGGGAAAACTGGTCCCATTTTTCCCTTCTTAGACCTGAAGGGACATTGGCTGGTGAGGCTCCTAGCCCAATGCTCATGACCTGCCAAGTCACCCTAGGAGGCACACGCACCCCTCAGGGTGGCCTGCAGATAGTAGGCTCTGGGCGCGGCTAGCCAGCTGCTTGATGTTCCTCCCGTAGTCTTCCACCGTGCGCTGCTGCCGAGAGTGCCGCTTTAGCATCACAATGGCACTCTCTTCATCCTAGGAGGCAGTGGATGGTCAGTGCGAGCCCAGCCTGGCTATGCTCCCGCCCTTGGTGAGTTACAGACCAGCTCCAGGAAGTGCCGAGTGGGGAAGAGAGCTGGTACCTTCCCACACATCCAGGCCTACCTCCAACCTTCTGTCCCTGTGAAAACTGCCTAGGTCATTCAGCAGTGAGAGGCCCCTTCACCTCCCCTCACTCCCTGCTTTGTCAAAATGGGAAAGGTTCTTGGTTAGAGTATATCTACATTGGCAAGTGGCCCTGGCTGCAGGATGCGCACTGTAGGTTGTGTAGGGTGTTCTTAAAGAGATGGGTGTGCTCAGTAGGCACTATGGAAGAACAGGGGGATTTTGTAGACTCCCTACACACTTTCACCTTGCCCCAGGTCCCCCACAAGCATTGCCCCCCAGCTCTGTACCCTGGCTGGCAGCCCCCACCCCAGCAGACCTTAGGGGACTCATCGGAGAAGACATAGAGCTCTTGCTCGCTGATCCAGGCCTGGGCCTCGCCCGCATCCAGGTAGTACTGCTGCGCCTCGTGGGCATCCTGCAGACGCTGCAGCCGCCCCACTGCTGCCTCCCGCAGAGTGTCCCATGAGCTCTGCAGATGTCCCAGGCGCTCCTCGATGTCCTGGCAGTCAACCTCTGCCGCTACCACCAGCTGCTTTCCTCGCTGCAGCACATCCTCCACCCGTGGTGTGTGGCCCAGGATCTCATTCTGCAGCGTCTGTGGCCAGGGGAAGGGTTCAGAGGCAGGGCCTTCTGGCCCAAAAGGGAGGCCATGTCTGCAGTGCAGAGCCAGGTCTGACACTCTTGGCCTCTCTCTCCTCCTTCTGCCAGAGCAGAGCGAGTGATGGCAGTAAAAACTGACCATGACCTCTTGCTGGCAGATGACTTTCTGAGAGAGGCACAGAGCAGTGAAGGAACTTACTGGCAGTGAGTAGTAGAGCCAGGATTTGAACACAGCTCTGCCTGACTCCAAAACCTGGAATCTTTTTTTTTTTCTTTTATTATTCATATGTGCATACAAGGCTTGGGTCATTTCTCCCCCCTGCCCCCACCCCCTCCCTTACCACCCACTCCGCCCCCTCCCTCTCCCCCCAACCCCCTCAATACCCAGCAGAAACTATTTTGCCCTTATTTCTAATTTTGTTGTAGAGAGAGTATAAGCAATAATAGGAAGGAACAAGGGTTTTTGCTGGTTGAGATAAGGATAGCTATACAGGGCATTGACTCACATTGATTTCCTGTGCGTGTGTGTTACCTTCTATGTTAATTCTTTTTGATCTAACCTTTTCTCTAGTTCCTGGTCCCCTTTTCCTATTGGCCTCAGTTGCTTTTAAGGTATCTGCTTTAGTTTCTCTGCGTTAAGGGCAACAAATGCTAGCTAATTTTTTAGGTGTCTTACCCATCCTCACCCCTCCCTCGTGTGCTTTTGCTTTTATCATGTGCTCAAAGTCCAATCCCCTTGTTGTGATTGCCCTTGATCTAATGTCCGCATATGAGGGAGAACATACGATTTTTGGTCTTTTGGGCCAGGCTAACCTCACTCAGAATGATGTTCTCCAATTCCATCCATTTACCAGCGAATGATAACATTTCGTTCTTCTTCATGGCTGCATAAAATTCCATTGTGTATAGATACCACATTTTCTTAATCCATTCGTCAGTGGTGGGGCATCTTGGCTGTTTCCATAACTTGGATATTGTGAATAGTGCAGCAATAAACATGGGTGTGCAGGTGCCTCTGGAGTAACCTGTGTCACAGTCTTTTGGGTATATCCCCAAGAGTGGGATTGCTGAATCAAATGGTAGATCAATGTCTAGCTTTTTAAGTAGCCTCCACATTTTTTTCCAGAGTGGTTGTACTAGTTTACATTCCCACCAGCAGTGTAAAAGGGTTCCTTTTTCCCCCGCATCCTCGCCAACACCTGTTGGTGGTGGTGTTGCTGATGATGGCTATTCTAACAGGGGTGAGGTGGAATCTTAGTGTGGTTTTAATTTGCATTTCCTTTATTGCTAGGGATGGTGAGCATTTTTTCATGTGCAAAACCTGGAATCTTGATTGACTGCACCCTATTCTTTCTATGTGTAACAGATCTTGAGCTCTTAGGTATTTGTATCGGAGGAGAGGAAAACAATTTGAGATGCTCAACTGACATCCTATTTTAGCAGCTTTTGCTCTAGATAAAAGAATAGTTGATGGCTACCCCTGGTAGAGAGTTTGGGGTTTGTTTTTGTTTTTCCACATTTCTGCTTCCATTTTTTTGTGAAATGTGTATTATTTCTTGTTTGGGCCTTAGCCACCAAAATGGTCTTATCCTCCTTCTATAGTGAATGGGTCACCTTTTTCTTCAAAAGGCCCTGACATATGTACTTCCTTTCTGGCCTCTAGAGGCCAAGGTTAGCTGTTCTTATTTGTAGGCTCTTGGGTTCCTCATACCTCATTTCCTCCCTCCTGAAGTTTTTCCATGGCCTTTAAAGCATCTAGAAGTCAGGGGTAAGGGTAGTCCATGCAAGTAGAATAGTGACTACCAGCATTTAGAACATATGAAATAGCAACATCCACAAGTCACTTCCTTCAACCTGTTGAAATGCATTATCGCACTTTATACTCAAAAATCCTGATTTTGACAATTTTCCATAGTCTCTGAAACTGTATTTAAACAGCTTATGCTGTTGGCTCCATTTGCCTCTTTTCTTTCTCTGAGATCTTATGACCTCTGGGTGGTGCTCTATGAAGGTATTTCTCCTCCTTTTTAAACAATTACTTCCTAGGCTCCTGGGCAGGGTGTTGTCTATGATGTCTTCTTCCCTGTCTTCATTTATTCAGAAAGCATTTTTTAAGGTCTTGTCTATGTGCCAGATCCTGTTCTAGGTACTTGGGAGGTAACCACACAGACTGAGTGTTCCTGGCATGAAAGAAGAGCAAGTACAAAGGTCCTGGGGTACAAAAGAGCCTGGATTGTCTGAAGGCAGAGAGAGGGGCAGAAGAACTGGAAGAGCAGAGCTAGTGATATGCAGAAAAAAGTGATATGTGACATAGAGGCAGGCAAGAACCAGATCAGGCAAGGCAGGGTCTCCTAACTTGGGTTGCACATTGAATAATCCAGGAAACAGGCACAGCTAGGGCTCGCTCCCAGACTGAGGTGAGACCTGGGCATCCACAAGTAATTTTTTTTTTTTTTTTTTGCAGTACTTGGGTTTGAATCAGGACCTTACACTTGCTAGGTGGGCATTCTACAACTTGAGCTACACTCCTTGCAATATGGGTCCTCATACTTCTGCCTCCTGCACAGCTGGGACCACAGTCATGCACCTGTTTTTTGATTATTAAGATGGGTCTCACTAACTTTTTCCCAGGCTGGCTTCTAACCATGACCCTCCTATCTCCATCTCCCAAGTAGCTGGGATTACAGGCACAAGGCACCATGGCAGGCCCCCCGGTGATTTTTCACTGTGCAGCCAGGATAAGAAGCAGCCACCTAGTACTCTGCAGGATTGTTCTAATTGTAATGGATAGCTGTTACAGCAGTGGTTCTCAAAGTGGAAGTCCCAAAAGCAACTATCACATCATCACTCTGATCTTCTTATGTCTACCTCCTGAGCAGATGGGATTATAGGTGTAAACCATCAGGTTCTTGTTAGAAATGCAAATTATCAGGCTCTACCCACAGTCTGATTCAGTGGATTAGGGCGGAGCCTGGTCAACTGTGGTTAACAAGCCTTCCAGGTAAATGCACATTGAAGTTCAAGCCACTATAATAGACTTTCAGGGAGGAGATGATAAAAGTAGATTTCTGATTTAGCCAGGTTAGCCTAAAATAGCCTTTTACTAGGGAAGCCAAGCACTTCCAAGAGGTCGTCTTTCCTTTCCTGGTTAGGGGAACTCCAGCCACATATGTCTTTCCCTTTTCCTAGAATAGCAACTACCAGGCAGGGGAGTTAGAAACCTGTGGACGCCAATACTTACAGAGGCTTGACAGTACCTAAAGTCTTTGTGTTGGAAAGATGGGAACTATCTTATTTTACAACTGAGGAAAGTGAAGGACCAAGGACACTGTCTACCACCAGCCTTTCTCCTTCAGTGGAAGGTTGTGTCAGTAACTAAGCCTGAATCTTATCTTCTAGCCCAGGTTCCTGCATGTAGTCCCTGGAGTCTTTATGAGTAGATCATGTCAACTGGAAGCAAAAGGTCCAAGGATACCCTAAAGAAACCTGTTCAAATCTAACTCACGCCTCTGCATAGTTTCTGGGCTCTGAAGCTCTGTCAAGCTGCCAGGCACCATGACCTTCCTTCCAGTGTAGCACTCTGGGACACACTAGCCTCTAGGAACTGATCCAGAGAGCTGACTAAGCAGATAAAGGAATTCTCTGTCCAAGAGAAGGGCCTGAGGCATGAAGCTACTGCAACCCCACAGCTGGCATCCTTCAGGATTCAGGCTCCCTCTGAATCCTAACACAGAGAAAATGGAATCCACTCATGTCCAGGGCAACAGAAGTTCCTAATCTGGTCTAAGAGATGAATAGCAGGTAGATGCTTGCTTCTCAAATTCAGCTTTTTTTTTTTTGGTGGCCACTGGGGTTTAAACTCAGAGCCTTCCACTTGTTGGGCAAGCACTTTACCACTTGAAACACACCTCCATCCCTTTTTGCTTTAGCTTGTTTTTCAAATAGGGTCTTATGCTTTTGCCTGAGCCAGCCTTGAACCCTGATCCTCCTATCTCTGTCTCCAGAGTAGCTGGGATTACAAGTGTGGACCATCATGCCTGACCAAACTCAGCAGCTTTCTAATGGGGTTTGAGCCCCACAAGTATCATCACATGTCCAGGGACTGGGCCCTATGTACCCTAAAGACACCACAAATGTGAAGGTGAGCCACAGAAGTGGGCAAGGCAATGTTGGAGAGATACTAAGAGTTGTCAGCTTCCTTTCAGGGAGGCCACTGAATATAGGACTATGAAAGCACATTAAACCCAGGCCAGGGACTCCAGAGTCTTGCCCTCACTCGAGGACTTGTGGAGTCTGAATGTCCCCAAATCCCCAAATCCCTTGATTCCTCTCTACTCTGCTATCCTCTCAGATAGCAAAGAATTCTCTTTGCAATCTCCAAGCTGCCATTTCTATAGTGAGACATTAAATAGTTTGGGGACCCCAAAGCTACCAACAGGAGCAATAATCTGCTGTCACTGGCCTACTGCAGATCAGGGCCAGCAGGGGCAGATGGCTGGTGAGGTGAGACAGAACTCACCTGGTTCTTCTTCACAAACAGCTGCACGGTTTGCAGATTAGTGCCATAGTCGGCTGACTGAGCCAGTGGCAGCCGCTCCTCCACCCAGAGCTGCAGAGACCAGAAGTCAAGGGACAGAAGATGACGATCATAGCCACCCTTTCCTGAGTACCCACAAAGGGTCAGATAGGGCATTTCTGGTAGAGTCTCCCTGGTTCCTCCCAACACTCCATCAGAGTCTTACCCACAATTTACAGATGGGGATATTTTGATATTTTGAACTGAGGTTCCAAATAACCTGCTTCTGTGCACATGGTGCACAGCAAGAGTCTGTCTGACCCTAAAGTCCACACTCATCACCATTAGTGACCAGTGGTTACCATTCAAAAAGCACAGGTTTTACTCTCCTATTGAACACAACCACCACAGCAACCCTATGAGATAGGGGGTAAGATGACCAGTCACCTGCTGCCAAGATTGCTCTGGACAGCGGCCAGCTACCCCCATGGCAGCTGGCGGCTCAGCCAGGGGGTGTGGAGAGGCTGCAGCCTACGCACCGTCTCATCCTCTAAGTCCCGGCTGATCTGCAGCTTGGCTTTGGATAATTCCAGCTGCTTCTTCCTTCTCCCCAGGGGTTCCAGGAGGTCCAGGAACCGCTTCTCAATGCTCATGTCTGCATCTCCTGTCTCCTCTCCCGGTGAGGGCACCAGGGCAAACAGCTCCTCCAGCTCCTCCTTCCGCATATTCACTTGGTCCTCTACTCGCTGAGACACAATAGGATGGTATCAACACTAGCCTTGACACCTGGGGCAGGGTCTGCCCTTTATCCATCTATCCATCTCCAACATACCCATTTTTTTTTTTTTTTTGGTGGGACTGGGGTTTGAACTCAGGGTTTGGTACTTGTGCTTGCAAAGCTACCACTTGAACACACCTGCAGTCCATTTTTCTCTAGTTGTTTTGGAAATGGGGTCTCACAAACTATTTTGCCTGAGCTGGCCTCAAACCTCGATTCTCCTAATCTCAGTCTCCCAAGTAGGTAGGATTATAGGTGTAAGTCACAGATGCTGGGCTTCCCGCCCCCCCTTTAAGGCCCAGTGAGAGCTCAGCCTTCTTCAAGAAGCCTCCCTGGATGCCTCCACTCATCCTTTCCTCCCATATTTCTCACCTATCCTTTTATTGGATCCCTGGCATACCCACTGCAAAAGGGCTAAGAGATGGATTCTGAACCAGGAAACATTTCTGCATCACAAGAACAAGTACAGCAAGAGACAAAGAGGGAGAACTTACTTTAAGGTTTCAGGTTTGCTCCCCAAGATACCTTCTAGTCTAACTCTCTGAGACTACAAGCTGCCTACATGCCTTCAACTTAGCCAACATCCGGTTGACACTGGTCAGGTCCTTGCCCAGGTCATCTGATCGCAGCTGGTCCTCCATGGCACTGATCCATTTGTTGAGGTCAGCGTGGGTCTGTAAGCGCAGGTCAGAGCTCCTGGCAGCTGAAAGTTGCAGGGTCTTCTTCTCTGTGTTGGCCTGCAGCTCATCCCAGAGCCGGTGCAAGTCTTCCAGCCTCTGGGATACCACGACCTTATATTGGGGCTTCTCCATCAGCTGCCTTCCTTCCTGTAGGGAAGAGAGCCCATCCTCTGAGGCCTACTCAACCCCACTCAGGGGCTCCAAACAACCCCACTCAGGGTGACTTCAAAGAAGTCAGTAAGGCAAAGGATTAGCATAGAATTGAGGTGAGGTTCTACTGAAATAGACTCTGAGCCCCTAGAGCTATTTGCAGGGGAGCATAGGGCTGGGAGAGCAGTGTTTGGGGCAAATGACTCAGAGACTGCAGTACAGTTGTGTGTATGGGGTTGCCAACAAGGCTCAGCTGGTACTAAAAACATAAAGATTCCAGATCCATCCAGGTACCAGGAGCATGAAACCTTCCTGTGAGTTCCAGAGTTTGTACATTAGACTCTGGTGAGCTTTTTTCTTTCTTTTTTGTTTTTTGGTGATCCTGGAATTTGAACTCAGGGTCTTATGCTTGCTAGGCAGGCACTCTACCATTTGAACCACTCCACCAGCCCTCTGGCGAGCTCTTTAGTCCAATCCAGAGGTTCTCACCTGTTTGAATGGGTCGTTTGGGGTGTGTAGTGTGATAGGACTTGGGCCTAGGAATATGTATTAGTAATAGCAGTATTTACCAAGGGACTCATAAATGCTGAATACTATCCTGAATGCTTAATTTGTCTTCAAGTATGCACTGTTCACAGAGCCATTGGTCAGCATGTGGTGTCATTATTCTCATTTCAGAAAGAAGCGGAGGCCCAGGAAGATGAAGGAGTCAGTCCAGCTCTGGAGGCTGAGCCTTTAACCCCTACACATCATGGCCTCTTATGAACCCTAAGACTGCTTCTTCCTGGGCAGCCACAGCCAGGAGAGTAAAGGGATGTAATTCCCAAATGTAACTCCTGCTACCTTTAGATTTGTACCACTGGGAAAACCCATTACAGTGGGGTCCACTGTCCCCCATCTATGAGGACTATGAATGACTGCTTCCCAGCAGTTTTGCCCCTCAAGAAGATGTCTCCTTGGTTCTGGGGAGTACAGCACTGGAACCCTGGTAAGGATAATAGAAGGCAAACAGAAATGACTGCTGTCCTGGCACCAGATGTGAAACCCTATTGGGGTATCCTCAGTGATCTGGACTGTCCTCAGGTTCAGGTGACCCAGAAGAGGCATCAGTTCTGACCAGGGCTTAACACAACTGGCTGCATCAGGAGCATTGAAGGTTTAACTACTATTCAGAGAAATTGTTTTCACTGCCAAATTCTGTACTGTCCAGCAAGCTTCAGGAAAGTATCCAGGCCATGGGTGAAGCCATGCTCACAGAGCATATCTGAGTAGAGAGCTGCCCACCACCCACTAGCTCCACTTACTGCATCTACGTTCTCAAGCCACCCATGGTGGGAAGCCAGCTCTGCCACAAATGCCTGGTGCTTCAGCCATTTGTTGTGAAGGTTGCGTGTTTCATCATAGGAAGCATCTGGAGAGGTCAGCAGCTTGTCATTGATCCAGAGAATGAGCTGTGGGCAGAAAGAGTGAGCCTGATGGTTCTCAAGTATATCTCTTTGCAGGACAGGACCTGCCATCCCACCCCTGACTACAGAAGGAGAAGGGCAAGCGAAGGAAGTAGGAGCACAGAAGAGAAGTAATTTCCAACTCTGGATCTCTAGGTCCCAGCATCATACCAGGGTCACAATGTGGGCACAGGTATGTCTTTCTCATTAGAGTATGTGTGGCGTGAGACCAAGGATAACTTATTCTTCTCTCCATATATTTAGGATTGAGGATAGAGCCTGGCACATTACAGGGGAACTCACAAGTTTTTACCAGATAGATGAATAAATCCATCCTTTGTCAGCATTAAATCATTAATATACACAGAGAAGATGTTATCTGAGGAAAAGGCCAAGGGCAGATCTTATAATTAACAAGGGGGGGAAGAACTGTGATGAGCGTCCAATGTTTCCAAGATGTCCTGGCATCATGTAAAGCCTGGCTTGTGCCAAGCACAGAACTAGATGAAAGCAAAGTTGTTTGGGATGAGAAAAAAGGGACAAAAAGAGGAGAGCAGGCAAGAAGTCAGGGGAAGCCTCATTGCACATGGGAAGTTCTGATTAAAGACCTTCCTTATATGATAGGCCCTAGATGAGCAAGGACCTTCTGAGTCAGCAGTTCTCCAACCGGGAAGCTTGTTTAAAAGGCTTCTTTCTCTCAGTCCTTGAAGTCTAATTCATTTGTGCCCAAACCAGGTCTAAAAGTCTGCTTTAACTAGGGCTAAGACTGGCTCCATAATTTGCAGGGCCCAGGAAACAACAACGATGTTCAAAAGGATTACAAATCTCAAGGTGGCAAGAGTAGGGCATTACACCAAATACAGGATCCTGTGTAGAAGAACATACAGGTTACACACACTTGCAGCCAACTCAGTGAGTACCTTAGGTGATTCCATTATACAGTTCTTGGACCAGTGTTTGACAAACCCTGTCCTAGACCCAGTGAATCAGAGGATGACTTTTCAGATTTGGGGTAAGATTGGATAGAAAAGAATTGTGGAACTGAAGATTTAGAGTATGACCTAGTTGCTGAGTTCCCGAAGTTCTCTACTCATGAAATCCTACCACTTTTGGTTGATAAAGGATCCCTATGACCTCCTGAAGCACTTGGCTGCTAGACAAGACTGTCCTGGAAAGGGCCTCTGCCCACTGGCCTCACCTCCTTGCAGTTCTGGAGGAAGTTTTGTAGTTCCAAGTTATCTTTCAGAAGAACTGTGGCCTCCTGGGCTTTCTCATTATTCTTTCTGTGCCTGGAAGGGAAGTCAAAACCAGTCATAATAAGGCTGAATCTGGGGTCCTTGCCTGGTACCCCCAGCCCCTCTGTGGCATGGAGCCCCATGACTCAAGAGGCAGGGAGTACCTGTCTTCGATCAGCTGCATCTTTTCCTTGATCTTGTCTGAGTACAGGTTTCCCTCATCTACCAGCTTGTTTCCAGAGTCCACGGGACTCAAGACTTTATCCCGGTTGTTCTCCATAGACACCAAGAAATCCTCAAACTTCCGGATCCCAGCTTCTGCAGCTTCTAGAGACTCTGGGGGCTCTAGGTGAGCCAGAGTGTATTCCTGTTGAAGCAAATTTCCAGATGAGACATGAAGACAAGTGAGGAGGTGGAGAGGGCACCTGCCAAGCAGAAGTGCCAAGGCAGAATGGTACCACTGGAGTTGCACAAGGAGGAGACTCTACTCCCCAGGCCTGGTCCCTACCCAAGGGTGAGATGCACTTCTCCTGCCTCTGATTGACCCAAGGACAAGACACAGTTTGGGATGCAGATCTAGAAAGGCACATATGAGGAATATAGAGTTTCCTCTCAATTATTGACTATAAGAGTCCAAGAAAAGCAGAATTTGGTCCTGGAGCCCTATAGCTCATTTGTAGACTCAACACTAGTACTGTTGCCCTGAGAGACCCCTGTGCCCCAGCCTTGCATGCCTCTCCATACCTGGTTGCTGAGGATGGCTTCAGCCTGCTTGGCATCTTTCTGGAACTCCTGGAAGCCAAGGCACTGGGCAAGGGAGCGACCTCGGCTCTCCCACATCCGACACAGGGCATCCCAGCCAGTATCCAGGCCCTGCAGTCGCTGGCCCAGAAGCTGGAACTCTGGCTCCTTTTGCCCTTCGATCACCTTCTCCCCAGAGGCCTTGACCTGCTTGTAGCTCTGTTGGTGCCCATCAATCTCATCTTTGATGGCTGCATGTTGCTGCAGGAGCTGCTCGGCCTCAGGGAGTGATTCAGGCATGTCCTCAGAGGCCACGGCCTTCTGTGCCATGGACAACCAGGCCTGGAAGTCATCCAGATTCTGCAGGAAGGCTTGCAGCTTGCTAGCTTCACCCAGGGATTGCTCCTGGTCCTGCAGGGCTTCTTCCAGACCCTTCCACAGCTCCTCAACATCTGCCTGCCGCTGCCCAATGTCCTCCTTCTGCTCAGGGTGTGACTCCATCAGCTGCTGAGACTCATGCTTCAGGGCACCCACACGATCCCGGATGGCAACAACATCCCGCTCCAATCCTGACAACTTCCTCTGAATGGCAATGACACCTGCTAGGTCCTGCCCAAGATCCTTTATAGACTGCACAACCCACATCTTGTCCACGATCCACTTGCTGGTCTCCTCACAGTCGACACAGTAGTTGTGCACTTGGAGGGCTGAGTTCACGGCCTTCCTCCGCTCGGACACCAAGGTCTGGAATGCCTGCCACCTGCCAGAGGGGGACGTGGCCCCAGGGTAAACAAACACCTTATTCCTTAACTCTTTCCTCAGGGACCTCTTTCCACGTTTCCCATGAGTCTCACCCACAGACCTGGTATGTTTTTAAAAAATTATCTATCTAACAAACTTGTGGTGAGCAAAATTCATTTGCCCCATTTTACCTAAGATATAGCTAACTGATGATCAAATCTCCCTCTTAGCAGGAGGCAGTGATGCAACCACACAGAACATGAAAGCAAAGCCTCTGCATGTTGCTGGATTTGAGGCAGATATGAACAGTCTCAGATTTATTACAGTTTTACCTTTCGTGGGGAGCCAGTACTGAGTTTTGAACTCAAGGCCTCAGCTTGCTAGACAATTGCTCTATCACTTAAGCCATGCCCCCAGAACTTTTGCTTTTAGTTTGTTTTTCAGATAGGGTCCTGCACTTTTGTCTGGGCCAGCTTTGGACCATGATCCTCCTATCTCTACTTCCTGAGTGGCTGGGATTAGAGATGTGCACCGCCATGCCAAGCCTGGTTCAACTATTCAGTGGTGTGAAAGCAATATGAATTCAGTAGGAACTAGGCTTTGAATTTTTATCTTTTCTTGGGCTAGCATATTAGGTATGATTTTCTCTTGTGGTACTGGGCAGTGGTAACAGGCTGCAGCTCAGTCAGCCATGTGACCACAAGGGTAAACAACCAACTCTACAGCCTGCTGTGTTGGTAATCCAATATGTTCGGTAGGTTAGATGCAATATGTATTTTTTAAGCTGGGGTCTGTCTGTGCAGCCCAGGCTGGTCTCAAATTTCTGAGCTCAGCAATCTTCAACTCTTAAGTAGCTGGGACTAGTGCCACCATGCCTGGCCATAAATGCATTTGCTACTTATGATACTGTAAAACACACAATGGGTTTTTGAGGCTGTAACTTCATCATAAGTGAAGAGTTTTAGACATTCAGGAATAATCAGAAAGCTCATATTATTAACTTCAGGCATGCTTCAGGACATAGTCCCCAGGTGCCCTAGAGGAACCTTGCAAATGCTCAAGACCACATTAAAAATCCCTCAGGCCTGGAAAAATCCACAGTGGGCCTAAAAGAAGAGAGGTCTGGTGAAAAAGAGGAGTGGTGAGAGGAAAAGGAGTTGAAGGAAAATCTCAGCTGGGATAATAATTAAAGTGGGTAGCAATCTGAACCTTCAAGTGCAATGTTGCTATGAAACAGGGAAACAGGCAAAGGTCCGGAAGGTGGCCTGGGGGCCTAAGGTTGATCTGAAGCACACAATAAGCCTCTTTAAGAGTTACCTATCAGCAAGGCTGGACCATCAAAACACCTCTCTCTGACCCAGGCTTAATCAGTTTGCATCTTTATGATATGTAAGCACATGAGAGTAAGCTGAATGTTCCTTCATTCATTGAATCCATCTCTCATGAATGCCCAAAAGAGCTTACAGAGAATACAGACAAAAGCCAACTCTTGCCCTATGGAGTATATGATCTAGAGAGAAATTAAGATAAGCTCACAGTTGGGCAAGGTGGTGTCTGTTCCCAATCCCATCATTCAGGAAGATGGCAAGTTTGGGGCCAGTCTAGGCTATGTAGAAAGACCCTGTATCAAAAAATAAAAATGAAAAAAGAACGAAAAAGGCACTCTCCAAAAATAACTACAGCAAGGACTATGCGCATGCACATATGAGGTAAAGAAGACCAAGGGAGTGATGGAGAGGTTGTGGAAGGTTTCTTGAAGGTCCTCTGAGTACCTCCAGTGCCTCCACTAGAGGGAGCTACTTAAGGATGCAACCCTTAAAGATGAGTGAGCATCTCACTCATCTTTGCATCCCAGCACTTAGGGAATGGCAGAGGGACTAGGCAAATGGACTGGGTAGAGGGCACTGTGAACATTCCCAAGGTAGACCCCAGGGGCTAGTCTGGCCTGAAAGACAGATCTGTAGAGAGAATTCAGAGTTAGGGGGAGGGTTTAGGAAGACCAGGAAAAAGAAGAGGAAGAGCCTGAGGACTTTCAGGCTCTCCTCCTAGACAGTGAGGCACCTGAGATCTGGGAATTCTGTACCTGACCCTCAGATATTGCACTGAGGCTGAGAAGTCAGGGGAAAGGAGCTGAAGACTTTCTCCAAGTTGTTTTGAAATCATGGTGAATTGACAGTGGATACTATTGCAAGAGAATCTGGCTGTGCCCTAGACAAGTGGCCGAATGGCAATTATCCAAATCTTCCCTGTGTGGCCTTACTGCATCCACCAAGTGGAGGCCACATAGGGGGAGGGACATGGATTTGGGTCTACTCTACCCTCCAACCCCACATGTTCCTCCAATGTTGGATTGGCTCCAAGAAGGAGCAAGCTGGCAGAGCTGCTCTAGTTAGCACCATTGGGCAACCTCAGGAGTCCAGGTTTGGTCCCTAGACCAAGACTTTTGGAAAAACACTGATTAACTGGAATGTATATAGTCAAAGACGATCACACATTTGATAAGCATCCGCAAAGGTTGGCAGAGACATTCAGTTTTGCCCCTGTTCACTCACTAAGCATTTGACATGCACCTGTCACATGCTGTGTGCCAGACACTGACCTGCCCACTGGGGATACAGCAAAGAACAGACCAGTCTTTGTCTGCACTCAAATAAACAGAGGTGAAGAAATGAATCTATAATCCATGAAGTAGTGGTAAGTACAAACAAAAATAAGGGGACAGAGGTTGAGGAGGTGGGTGTGTATGGGGATGTACCAATTTCAATAGGGTGATTGATGAAGGATGCTCCAATAAGCTGACATGTGAGCTGAGACCTGAACAAAGTAACAAAGTAAGCCAAGTGGGTTTCTGGGAAAATATTTCCAGCAGAGGGAACCTTAGGCCAAAATGTGCTTGGCACACAAAGCATCACAGGCAACAGAGAGACATGGAGCAAGCTCTCATTCGCTTACAGGAAAAGTAGGAAGGAAAGTCATTCAGCATGAATGTACAGTCATGCACCACATAAGAATATTTCAGTCACTGGTGGATTGCACATGTGACAGTAGTTCTTTAAGATTATCACAGACTTGGGAAATTCCTATCACCTAAAGATGTGGCATCCATTGTAAAGTCATAGCACAGCACATTCTTCACGTGTAAGTGGTGATGCTGGTGTAAACAAACCTAGTGCACTGCATATCCTTATGTTCATAATGCTTACAATGACAAATGACTACGCTACTGGTTTATACACTAATTATACCTAAAGAGTGTACTCTTGCTTATAAAATAAAATTTACTGTAAAATAGAATGCTGTGTTATCCAGAAGCAGCCTCATACACTTTGTGTTTCCAAGTCCCTTAATTTTTGCATCATTTTCCCCTGCACTTGATTTAATCTTGTGGTTTTTTTTTTTTTTTCATTTTTCTTTTATTATTCATATGTGCATACAAGGCTTGGTTCATTTCTCCCCCCTGCCCCCACCCCCTCCCTTACCACCCACTCCGCCCCCTCCCTCTCCCCCCAACCCCCTCAATACCCAGCAGAAACTATTTTGCCCTTATTTCTAATTTTGTTGTAGAGAGAGTATAAGCAATAATAGGAAGGAACAAGGGTTTTTGCTGGTTGAGATAAGGATAGCTATACAGGGCATTGACTCACATTGATTTCCTGTGCGTGGGTGTTACCTTCTAGGTTAATTCTTTTTGATCTAACCTTTTCTCTAGTTCCTGTTCCCCTTTTCCTATTGGCCTCAGTTGCTTTAAGGTATCTGCTTTAGTTTCTCTGCGTTAAGGGCAACAAATGCTAGCTAGTTTTTTAGGTGTCTTACCTATCCTCACCCCTCCCTTGTGTGCTCTCGCTTTTATCATGTGCTCATAGTCCAATCCCCTTGTGTTTGCCCTTGATCTAATGTTTGTGGTTTTTTTTTTAAGTGCTGGGGATCAAACCTAGAGTGTTGTGCATAGTAAGACACTCTACCACTGAGCTACATCCCCAGCTTAATCTCATCTTACTTTGTTCACCATGGTTCTCAGAGCAATAGACTATACCTTCTAATATACTATACAGCCTAGGTATGTAGGAGTTTATATCATTTAGCTTATATAAGCATACTCTGTGATGTTCACACAATGACAAAATTGCGTAATGACACATTTTCCAGAATGCATTCCTGTTATTGTGATTCACAACTGTAATTATAATACAAAGTAGGATTTGAAGTTCAAAAGGAGGGAGGGATGAATTTTACCTGGAAAACGGGGAAGGAGATGAATTGGCCCTGGACTGGCCTACAGGATGGACAGGATTTAGACTATGTAGTTGGAAGAGAAAGCACTTGGACAGAGAAGAACAAAGGCAGGGGAAGTAGGACTAGGTGGAAGTATAGAATGACAGCTGTTTCCAAAAGTATTTGAAGATTCTTTGATATCTCTAAGGAGCAGAGCCAGAATCAATGTGTACAAATTTCAAGGAGAGGCAGATAGCCTCTCAACACAAGACCAAATGTTTTAATCAAAGGAGGTTGCCCCACATGGAATGGGCTGCATAGTGGGGGAGTGGGCTCCCTGTCTCTGGTAGACTGAAGGATTTCTCGAGTCCCTCAACTCTCAGACTTAATGGAAAACCACCTTACTATTTCATGCCTCAGATTTTCTCTAACCTAAAAATGGTAGCCATCTCAATGTTTTCCAGTTGGGATGAGGCACGTCTTAAGGGTTTTTAAAGTCACATTCTCTGAGTACAGCTCCTTGCATAGCTGATGAGTTCTTCCTATTTGGAAGTTTCTCTGGTTTAGAATGCCTTGCACTGGAGTTCTAACTCAGAGCCTCACGCTTGCTAGGCAGGCACTCTTATCACTTGAGTCACTCCCCCCAGCCCTAAAATTTTAAGCTAAGCAGCAACTGCTTCATTCTCTCATTCTCTCTCTCTCTCTCCCTCCCTCCCTCAACACCCCACCTTCCTCCCCCTTATATCCACCCCCACCCACACACAAAGCCACCCGCCCATCCATCCACATGCACTCCCTACAAGCCTAATTAAGAGTGAGCAGGCTCTTCCTCCTCGATGTAAATGCTGAACTTACAAAGGGATGTCTTGAACTATAGTCACCACCATTGGATGCTGAGACAATTGGTCCCAATCTAGTGACTCTGAAGTATCCCACTCTCCCCTGGCTCCCCACAGGCCCTTGTCAGTCTCCACTGTAAGGATCTATCTGTTTGCAGCCCAGTCTTCCCCATGCCCACCTCCCAGATTGCCTTGGGCAGAGCAAATCTCAGGGGCAAGTGTGGGGAGGGGCCAGGGTAATGGGGTGATGAACAAGGGACATTACATGTGCACGGCCCAGGGTAAAAGGAGGGAATGCAGGCATTTGCTCCTCAAAGGTCCTCCAGAACTAATGGGCAATTACGCCCTGCACTGTGAGCAGCCCCTCTCTAAAGGCTCCTTAGGGCCTGTTTTTCCTTCCAATCATGAAGCTTGCTCAAGGCTCCCTGCTAATTCTCTTCTTCATTGAAGTCAGCCGTATTATCAATGCTGCATTTTGGCACAGGCAGAAGCATTCTTTCATGGACAGTACTTAAGAGCTCTCAGAAAGCAATTTTCCCTGTTCAAGAATGTCTGGGGAAATATGGCATGAGGACCTGATCTAACCACAGGCACGGTCAGACTGTCTCCTTCATCATGCGTGTATATATGCCCTCCTCCTCCACATACGGTCTTCTCCATGGTTGTTCACCCTACTGTTCACCACAGATTTTCCTCCTTGCTGCTGTAGCCCCAATATGAGGAATAAGACTGGCTGAAAAAGACAGGGGGATGGGGGTAAGATGTGGCCATGCATAGCAGGTAGTCTGAAGTTTGGGCTATGCCCCCAGGGAAGTGTCAGGTGCTGGGAGAAAGTTTCCCCGGCCTAAACCCACACTCTACCTCTTGTTCAGACGGTCTTGGTACTGCTTTACTTCCCCACTTCGTGGGTGGCCACTCTCTACCAGGTTGTTGGCAGCAAGGTTCACATCATCAATCTGAGTCATCAAAGTCTTCATTTCCTGGTTCAGGATGTCAAACCTGATACGGACAAATAAGGAGTGGTGAGACAGTAGCACACACTTCATTGCCAGTGACTCTGTCTCCAAATGCGCAGCTCTTGCTTTCTCCTTTCACCTCCCCAACACGTTCGTCCAGGTGAGTGGGGAAGAAGGCAGACCCTGATTTCCAGGCTCATGGATCCAATTTCATGGTTTAGTATTTCCTGGACCAGGTGAGGAGAGAGTTGGTTACTTTCTACACAGGTTTCTGATTCTACAGAGAAGTGCTAAGCGGAGAGGGCTATCAAGGGGCTACAGCATGTGTGTAAGCAGGGGGTCAATTACCACAGGGGCCACCTGTCATTCTTCCACTGTCCAGCTGCTGCTCTACCCTGACTCTAATCCCCTGATACCTTGACCTGAGGGATCTGCTCCCTGGTCAAGTGCTCCATTCTTGGCTAGAGTAAGGAGACCTGAAGGGAGAGAGGTTTGGGGATTATGAAGGCTGTCCATTGGGTAGAGTATAGGACCCTCCAGCCTCAGTGCAGGACCACCCTGGCACTGCTCCAGGAAGTGGCTTTTCCTCCTCTATGACCCCTGGATCTGTGCTCAGGTGCTGAGACACTGTACAGCCTGACAAAACTCCCCATTGAGGATGTGGAAATCAGAATGCTGGAAGTGAGTAGCCTAGCAGATATGCAGTTCACAAACTAGTCTCTCTGGCCCCTTGGAGCACTGTGGCTTAGCGACTGTTATAGACAGCTAGAACTGCCAGGGTCCCAACCTCTTAGCCCCTTTGTCCAGAGCAGCTCCACTTGTGCTCTGTGTTACATGGGGGTTCCATATAGAATCCATTTGAGCAAATAACTGGACTAGAAAATCTCTTTTGACTGAGGAACTCAAGGCTTCAGTGGGTAAAATACCCAAGCTCACAGAGCCACAACAGAATTCGTGACTCCTGGCATCTGAACTTTGCAACAAAGGACATTTTTCCACAGCCTCTCAAAGAGACCCCAGCTGTCTAGAGGTAGGAGGTAGCACCCAATCCTTGGGTAGGGAGGTGAGCAAAGGAGCAAAGGCTGAGCCACTCTGACCTGTGCTGCACAACCTCCAGGTCCTCCAAGGTATCTGGGATTTCCATCTGGTCCAGCCACTTCTCCTTCTCACTCATCCACAACTCACAGGCATCTGATTCCCCAAACACTGTGTATAGGTCCAGGGCATCCTGCAGTCTCTGTCTACGCAAGTCTGCCTGTGAAACCACCCGCTGGTAGAGCTCCCGAAGAGTCTGCAGACGACTGGTCACATCTGGAGAATCCCGGAACTCTTGGGGGAAGCCTTGGGCCTGCTGTTCCAAGTGCTCCATCACCCCATGACTCTCTTCTAGCTCCTCCAGGAAGTCCTTATGCTTCTTCTCCAGGGCCCGTGTGGCCCCTTCATCCTGCCCCACATCTTCACCCAAGAGCAGCCGGTGGGCATCTTGTAGCCAGGCCTTCAGGTCATCTGCATCACCCTGGAACTGGAAGAAGTTCTCTGCATCTTGGAGGTTCTTCTTGCGAAAGGCAGCCAGCTCCTTCAGCTGGTCCCATTGGGCTGACACCTCCTTGACACGAGCCTCAATCTGTGGGTGCCCAAACTGCTTGCGTGCGACCATGCCCTCAGCCTCCTGGAAGATCTGCTCTAAGTGGGCATCTAGCCCACGGAGCTCATCTTCAAAGGCTTTGTGCTTGCGCTGCAAGATGAGCACGCTGGTCAGGTCCTTGCCGTAATCCAGGGAGGAGTAGATCTGCTCTTTCTCCTTGATCCAGCTCTCAGCCTCATCCATCTCCCAGAAGAACTTCCAGAGCCGCTTGGACTGTTCCAGCTGGACCTTCCGTCCAGTTGCCATGTCGCTTAGCTCTCCAAAGCACTGCTCCAAGTGGCTGACACGGTCCTGGATGACTTGGGGGTCACAAGGTTGGTACCCTAGAGGAATAGAAGGGAAAGGACAAAGAAAGGAAAGGGTCTCATTTAAGGGTAACTTCCTATTAGTTGCCAGGTTAGAACCATACAGTCTCAAAGCTGCCATTTCACAGGGCCTCTGGGATTAGATTCAGGGGTTCCCACTTACTCAGAGGTCATGCCAGATTCTTTATAATTGGTTCTCACTAAACTTTAGGAATAAGGAAGATTAAAAGTTGAGTCAGTTCTCAGTAGAAATACACAGCATGACATTAGTTTTTTAAAAAGCTCTGATATAAATTTCAGGGAGGCAATAGGTCTCTTCTTTAAGATCAGAAACTTTAGAAACTTAAACAGTCTCTAGCAAAGAGAACAAAAGATGGATGATGCCTTGTTGGTGCTTATAAATGCCTTTCTGATTGTAGATTACCAAAGCTGCCAGCTGCTCTCTGGGGTATTTTTTTTAACCCCTCGAGCTTCATGCAGTGTTACTTGGTGAAAGAAGCAGAATTCTAACGGTGGTTCCAAGAGATTTATCAAGGAGCGGTGTTGGGCCAGAGGATGGGGCTCTGCATCAGAGGTCTCAACAGAAGAGACATTCTTGGCCTCACCTTTCCCCTCAGTGAATTGCAGGGTAGCTGCAGTGATGGCCTTCACTTTGTCCCCTTGGATGGCAATGTCGGCCTCCATCAACTTGTGCTTCTGCAGCAAGTCCTCAACCTCCAACAAGTGCTTCCCAAACTCAGCAGACAAGAGGTGAGCCTGGCAAAGGACAAAGTAGAGGGAATAAGGACAAGTGAAGAAAAGGGGCTCCTCCAAAGTGTGTGTGTGGTTATGTGTCTGAGCCAGGGAGAATTGGATGCAGCAGGATGCATCCTTGGGATGGAAGAAGCTAAACAGCAGGATTTCCTACTGTGGTGCCCACTGGAATCATCCAAGGAACAATCTACAGAAGTCTCAAGGTTTGGGCCTGGGCATACACATTTTTAGGAAGCTTGTGGTCAGTATCATGTGTGTACTCAGTTGACAGCCACTGCTGTTGAGTGAGAAAATTCAGACTTCTTTGGTTGCTCCTTTGTTGGGAGGTCTGGATTCTACGCGGAGTGAAATTGCAATTACTCAGAGTCTGATTATCCAGGTCCATGATTAACGTCTCTCTCTTTGGGACCTGTAGGTTGGTGGTTGTGCAACCATGAACTCAACACTTGTTCATCATTGGGAATATGGTGGACCTGGGCTGGTGACATCTGCCTGGGTGGAGAAGAGTGCGCCAAGGAGCAGACAGGCAGAGTGAGACACTGTACTGCCTCGGTTTCTCCATTGTGACTAGGGGATGTGATTGGGGGTATCTAAGGAGGCACATCTGACTGCGCAGTGGGATGTGTGCTAGGCCCTAGGGCCCACCTTGATCTCATCCATCCAGTCAATGCTGTGCAGCATGTCCTGGAAGAGTTTCTGCAGGGCCAGGGTAGCCTCGAGCCTCTGTCGCCGGGACCGCAACAGCTCGTGCAGGTAGCTCCAAAGGCGTAGTATATTGTCCTTCCGGGCCATGATGCGCTTCTGATCATGGTAATTCTCCTTCTCCAGCTCCTGGGCCAGGTCCTCAAGGGCCTTCACCCGCTCCTCATAGGCAGCTGTGTCTGTCTCGATGGCCTCGTGTTTCTTCTTGGCGGCTTCCACGGCTGCCAGGTCATACCCGAAGTTATCCTGCCCCAAGAGAGAAAAACCAACAGCTCAGTCAGACAGCCTTAGTCACATCCCCAGGTGCAGAGAAACGGCAGGTGTGACCAGCACAGCTACTGATGGGAGACTGAATTCCCATGAAGGTGTTGGTTCTGCTGTCCTCTGGCTGCCTGCCTTATCAGAGTCAAGTTTGAACAACTAAATGTGTCACAGGAACCTCTAAAATCAGTCCCAGTTTCACTCCCCATGCTGCACATGTAGGTGACACCACCTGTTTATTACTAGCAGAGCCCTCTGGCTGTCCTCTGGTCCTCCCACCCTGCCTGGAGTGGATCTGTCCAATTCTGGGTAGGAGGGGCTGCTTGTGCTCAGAAGCCATGCAGCTGTAAACAGATGGTTTACCCATATGCTATCTGGGGCACATGTACTCTCTCCAGTGCTCTTAGAATGCTCACTATCCTTTTACTGGACAGAATTTAATTTGCCTCCAAGCTCTAAGTTGGAGGGAACAGATGCTCTGATGGACAATCAGCCCTGGGGCCTATTCTTAGCCAGTGAAATATGTCCTAGGTCTGGAGGCCAGAGACCAAAAGACACATCTGACACATGCATGTATTGTCTGATTTCACCCTGCTCTCAGAAAACCATTATTTAATGACAACCCTGATTCCTGGTTTTGTGGATGCTATGGCCCAAGTAAGACAACTTCAGGGTCTAGTTCTGATTGTGAGCTTTGTCTTAAAAAGAAGACTGAATTTGGGCTGGGAGTACAGTTCAGTGGTAGAACGCTTGTCTAGTATGCATAACGCCCTGGGTCACCAGCACAAGAGAGAGGGAGAGAAAGAGGGACAAGAAGAGGGACAGGGAGAGGGACAGGGACAGGGAGAGGGAGGAGACTAGCTGCAAATCTTGGTTCAGTGAATCCCAGGGAGCTGGCTGCAAGGATGAGGAGAGGTTTATTTGTCTGGTTGCTGCTGAGAGGCCAGTTCAACTCCAGTTCTGCTGAAAACCGGGTGTTCTAAAGCACTCTCCATCTCCTGCTATCCCCAAGTGTGTCCCCCATTACCTGGGTCACAAGACGCTGGTTTTCGTTGAGCCATGTCTCTCTCATGGCGGCCTTTCGGTCAAAGCGCCGTGCCAGCTGTTCCAGCTTCTCCTGCCGGATAAGCTCACTCCTCAGGGCCAGCTCCCTTTGATACTCGGCTTCCTCTAGGCTCTCCCAGGCCTGCACAGGGCAGAGGAGAATTCTTGGGGTATGGAAGAAACATGTGGGTTCAGGGTTCCAACTTTTACCCAACCCTGACTGATTTTAGGAATCAAGGCAGAGACTGATGACTTTAGGTGGCAGTAACACTCCTTCGATTTCATGTCTGGGTCAACCGAAGAGTCCAGAAGCCCTGGTCAATTCCCCTAAACCTGCCACATATTCTTGACCAAATATAATGGTTTTACCTCTCTGGGTGCTCAGGAAATTGTTACTGACTAAATGGCTGCCTCCATTCTATTAGAGACTCCAGGTGATATTAAGTCTCCAAGCCTCTGAAACATCATAAGGCATTTCCTTTCTGTTATGAGTAATTAATAGTCTAGATTCAAAGACAAACTCAAAGTTTTATAGAGGACAGGCTACAAAACCAGCTCCAAAGAATAACATCTGGGCATCTGTAGAGAGCTGAAATGCAGGATGACGGATAGAGTCTGACCTCTCTAAGCCACATTCAGGTAACTCCAAATGGCCAACATGTAATTAATAACACTAAAGAAAGTGACTTGGTTTAGCCTGTCCAGGGACTACTCCCTGTGTCCTCACCAGGAACTCAATCAACGCACTGGTAATGCATAATGGAAAATACTATGGTACCCGGTTGATGTCAGACACTAGTTTCCCATCATGGGGTGTATACACTTTCTGATTGTTGGCTCTCATCCGGGACTGGATGGTAAAAAGTAGAACTTCCAGATTCCCCTTCTCCTGAAACCTGTGGAGAAAAAAGAGGCAGGGAGAGTAGTGTTGAGATCCCCACAGGCAAACCATTTGCTGAAATCAACCTGGAAACTCTGACATCTTGGATCTTGAATAACAAAGCATATTTCCCTTAAAAACAAGCAAACAAACAAACAACAAAGTAAGGAGAAGGGATAGGTCTGCTTACTTGTTAAAACATCTATCATTCTTACCAATGGACATCAAATAGGAGTTTGGGTCTTTACAACTCAAATCAGAGAAAACACAATGGCTACCACAGCATTTATCATTTGCTTCCATGGGGAAATAGCTAACTGGAGTATTCTGGTAACTCTGGTAAATATTGAATTTTACCAATCAATACAAAGAAACTCTTCTCTGTTCTACAAATGATGAAGGCTTCTGACTAGCTTTTCAGACAGTTTTTTATTGAGAGAGCTGATAAAAAGCAGCATTACCCACATGAGAACATATTGCACTGAAAGCAACCTTCACCCCAGACCTAATAAACTGGATCTTTTGACAAACCAACAAGTTCTACAGGACAGATGTTTGTGGGGATCAGGGAAGGCGGGACTCTGGGAGGACTGTGAGTAGAGGAGACAAGCTCCAGGTGACTGGGTATGCTCACATTTCTTCAAGATTCTACCCACTTCTTTGACGTGGCAGTTGGGAATCACTTATGAGCAATGGCTCCCCATCACTAGCCCAGCCTGACAGATCTCAGTACTCACAGCTACCAGAGGGCTTGAGGCCCTGAAGTGCTGTCACACACCTCTGGTTACAGTGCCTGGTAGACACACAGACACTTGAATTTAGGACTTTAAAAGTGGGTTAGTGTCAAACCAGAAACTAGATGCTGGTTTATAGAATATCTTAGACTTGGCATCTCACCTTTCACCATCTGAGAGATGGGTGGGAGAGGAACAAAACAGAGGGCACATGTGACCTCTGGATGAACTGGAAACCTTTCAAGGGAGCTGACCAAGCTAACAGCAGACAAGCTGAAATTCCTCGTTGCATATGAGTGAACAATTGTGAGGGTGCATGTTTGTGAGTGTGTGTGCCTGCAGAACTGTGTGTGCACCGGTGCACATGTGACTGTTTGTGCATGTGTTGTATCTGTGCATGTTGTGAATATGTGTATGTACATGTGTGTACGGTTGTGTTATGTGCTTGCATATGCATGTGTGATTGCGTGTGTGTGCACATGTGTGTGGTGTGCATTCATGCAAGCATGGTTGTGGGTGTGTGCGAGCATGCACACATGTGGTGGGGGGTGGTGCAGAGATAGCAAGAAGCAGGCTTAGTGCTCTGCTGATGAGCAGTAACAGATGGGAAAGAAAAGGACAGACCCACTTGATGAGCACAAGGCCTCACACAGAGAGCTCAGAGACTGAGAATACAGAGGCCATCACCAAAATCTACACTCAACGCACAGGCCCTAAGAAAGTAGCCCTAACATGGTTCTCCAAAGACACTCAGAAGCCTGATTCCCCTCCCACTGCTCCTTGGGGGTCTAGAAAAGCCAAATCCTTTGAGTACAGACTGAGGTTTCTCATCAATATCTGTACGGCTTGGGAGTAGCCAAGAGGGGCATAAAGCAGGTGACAGATGTGCAGCTCTGGAACCTCAAGGAGATGCCTCGTGGATTACTTCTTAAGTCCCAGAACCCGGCTGTGCCTCTGGGCCCCTGACGACCGCCCTCCTGAATGCCAGGGCCCTTACTTGGGTGGCTTCTCCACAGTGCGGTAGGTGCTGAAGGCCTGCAGCTGCTGCTGGACGCCAGTCAATGAGTTGGCAAACTTGCGGCTGTTCAGGACGCTAATGGTCTGCTCAATCCAGGTGAGCAGGTCCGAGGCTAGCCCGCTGTACTTTTCAATCATCTTCTCAGTCTCCATGGCGTGGTCAATGACCTAGGAAACCGCCTCTTACTCATTCTCGTCAGAGGGGCAAAGGTACTAATGCGGCTACCAACGAGGGCCATGATCAAGGTGTCCTGAAATGGGGCTCCCACCTCCCAAGCTCTGGACAGTTTGAGGTTGGGTTTGTCTCCTCTAAGACAGAAGTGGTAAACTGGAGGTGGGTAAAGACCTATTTTTTGTGTGTTGTTTTGTTTTGTCTTTTTTTTTAATTTATTTTTTTATTATTCATATGTGCATACAATGCTTGGGTCATTTTTCCTCCTGCCCCCACCCCCTCCCTTGTTTTGTCTTTTGAGCTGGGGTCTTGCTATGTAGTCCAGGCTTGCCTCTAGATCATCCTATTTCAGCCTCTTGAGTTCTGGGATTACAGGTATCATGTCTCGCTGAAGCCCTCATCTTTCACTGATCTTTCTGGGGTTCAGGAATAGCTGCCTCTTCCCCTAATGCTGTAAAAGTTTATCTTGGTACCTGCTGCACCAGGATACCAGGCCCCACAGGGGACAGGGTTTTATTTATTTTAAACTATTTATGGGCATTGAAGATGGCCAGGCACTGTCTTTGCAAAACACGGGGCACAACAAAGATGAATAAGGAACAGGCCCTACTCTTGAGGAGGTAATGACCCAGCAGGGGAAAGGACTCACGCGTGGGTCTCTGCAGAGGGGTGGGTTCCTAGTGTATTGTGGGAGTCTGGGAGATGTGAAGCCACAATAAACAAATCAAGTATGAGCCTGCAGTGGATCCCGTGGGAATGTCCATGAGATGGGGGCTCCTGTTAGACAGGTTTAGACCTGCTTTGGAGTCAGTTCAAGGGCTGATTTTCCAGGGAGCTTTACAGGAAGTGGGGTACAGATGTTCTGAACCCTCATTGCAGTTGGGGGCCCAGAGATGAGGCTCTTAGTCAAGGCCTCAGGCTGGCACTCAGGGAAAGGGTGACACAGTGCTGACAAAACGGTGCAGTACCTTGCCGACACGCTTGCCCTCCACTGCCAGCACCTTCATCTTGGAGAAGTAGTGGTAAAATGCTACCACGTACGTGATGATGGATTTCTCATCAGGGTTTTCTGTGAAGACATCTGTAAGGGAAAAGGTACATCTCAGCACCAAACCCTAAACCAGAAAGGTTAGGTTCCAAAGGTTTAGCCACAATTCCTCCAGTGTGAAGTTCAACCACAGACATCAAGCAAAAACCAACAGGGCAAAAATGGAGGAGTGGAGGGCCTAAATTTTTAGACAGTGACAAAATCCATATTAGGACCACAAATTACAAAAGCAGAAAGAAGTATCCAAAGTCCACAAGGGACTGCCATACAGGCCAGGTGAGGTGTTGGGGACCCACTTGGTATTGAGCAACAGACCCAGTACAGAGCCCTGGCCTGGCCCCATATTCTCTCTGTGCCCACAGCTCACCAGGCACCTGGACCAGCCTCCACAAACCCTGTCAGCCCAGCTCCCTCTGGAATAGTGCCTGGGTGTGGCTTACCTTCTGGATCAAGGAGTGGGATGATGCCCAGCTGGCGCTCGGCCACATTGAATGCATGCTCAAGATTATGCCTGGCATTGGAGTCCTTCAGATTGTCAAAGTCAATCAGGTCAGGCCTGAGGACAAAGCTGGACTGTTAAAAGGGAGTAGCCACGGTAGCCCCATCTCTGGGGTAGCCTCAGCATGAATCAAAGATGCTGGGCAGATGCAGGGAGGTGAATAGGAAAGGAAAATGAGAGACAGAAGAGAAGGGGCAGCTATGGGCATCAGCTTGTGAGGAAGTTGGCAGCAGGTGCGACCAAACTTAAGGGAGGCAGAGACACTGGGGGAGGTCAAGGGTGAAGGGATAAGACATAGCAGAGGCATCGTTCTCACAGCTTCCATGTTAAGTACAGTGTGCCCATCAGTTCCCAGGGCCCGCTCCTTCCTCTTACCGGTGTTTGTGTATCAGGGCATTAAAGGCCAGGCCATCCTTCCAGCTGGAGGTGAAGTTGGTAACATTGACGTGGGGGTAACTGCATTGAAGAAAAACATTAAGACCTAAGAAACAGATTCTTTTGAGGTCCCAAACAAGTACATGGATTGATGGCTGAGATGCCAGGACAGAAATGAACCTGTTCATTCTTGAGCTGTTTCAACACAAGCAGATACTACTGGTGGAGTGGATCAAGTGGCAGAGGGCCTGCCTAGCAAGCATGAGGCCCTGAGTTCAAATACCAGTATACCACCAAAAAAAAAAAAAAGTGTGTATGTGGGGTACAGCTAAGCCACACAAAGGTGCCTCCATAAGCTGTAGTCCATATACACATACACAATATGTTCCAGAGTCTGACCAGAGGCAACTTTGGAAAAGCATACGTATTTAAGGTCTCAAAGAATGAGATCGGGACAAATCTGTATCAATTACGTTGAAGCTGCTATAGTTCTGGGTGATGATGTCTAGTGCCCCTTGAGGATTCAGGGGAGCAAGGGGCTGGTGGGGAAAGTGGAAATAGCAGGTTTTCAAGGTATACACACCCTGCTGTTTTCATCTGGCACCACAACAGCAGTGCATCCTTGGCTGAGCGTGTCTCACGACCTTCCTGAGTTTGGACAACGATGTCCTGAATCTAAGGGTGGTAGAAAAAGAGAGATGAAATAATATCTGGGAGATTCTCTTCCTCTCCTCTTCTGTGGCCATCCATCCGCAGCATGTGGCCCTGTGGCACCACTACACACTGAGGTCCTGGGTCCCAGTCACCCACTCCCTGTCTCAGTCGGTCAGACTGGCATAGGGATGACTTGTCCATATCAGAGGAGACAGGTTTAATTAGATAACTAACAGGACTCTGAGAATCTACAACAAGATGCCCTGATGCCTCCTCCGGAAGTACAATGCCCCACAGAGTGGTAGAACAAATGAATATGGATTGTTTTGTTTTTTCATTAGCAGCTTGTAATGGTTAATCTTGATTCTCAATTTGATTATACTGAGAGAAACCTAGGAGACTGGTAAAGTACACTTCTGCGTGTACCTGTGAGGGCATTTCCAGATAAGGACTGACTAAGAGGTGGAGGAATACATGGCCAGCACCATCCCATAGGATAGAGGCATAAGAATTAAAAGGAGGGGGGTATTCTCTCTCTGATTCCTGGCAGTCATGATGTGAGCTGCTCTGCTCTATGGTGCCCTCTCTACATGATGGTCTGAAACCTCTGAAACTGTGAGCAAAAGAAATACTTCTTCCCTTAAGTTGTTTCTGTCAACTACATTTTCACAGCAATAAGAAATACACAGTTCCTTTTGCTCTTTCGTTCTTCCCAGTTCTTTATTTAGTCCCATGCACTTGTGGGGTGTAAGATTAGACATCCAGGATCACTAGGATGAGGACTTTAATCTGTGGGTTGTGTGCTGTCTTATTCCTTCCTGACCTCCAGCTCGGTCTTTCTTATCCCCATGTCAGTAGGTGCAAGGCCCTCCTGTCCTTCCCTAACCCTTTCTAAATTTCCTTATGAATAATATGGACCTTGAATTTCAGGTAAGAAAAGCTTCTGAATGAAAAGTATAAAAGCAGATTTTTGCATTTTTTTGAATCAAATTATTTCAAAACTAAGAAGTTACACAAAAGGAGGGGTGGAGATAAAAAAAAATCTTCCAGCAGCCAGCTACTAATTAACATCTACCTTCTCTCTCAAAAGACTACAGCTGGGAAGTTACCCCAAGCTTCATTGCTTTGGGGTGACAGAGGAGATGAGTTCTCCTTCCAATGTTTACTGTCTCATAGGATGGGTTTCTAGCCTCCCAGGATGTGCACAAACACATTCTATTCACCATTTGTAAGGTTCTCATGTCCTGATCGGCTTTGAGAGGGCTCTTTAACTTCATCTGTTCCCCAGGACCCACCTGGAAGCGGAGAATGATGGTCCAGATGAGGCCCAGGACCAGGCGGTGGTTGCCATCCACGATGTCATGGGAGCCCATGTTCTCCAGGTGCACACGCTGCTCCTTGAGGAACTGTAAGGCCTTGTCCACATTCTCCAGGCAGTGGATGCGCATCTTCCCCTTGGTGGGCCTTGGCTGGGAGATAGCGGTAGCACCCATGGGCATGGAGGGACTGCACAGTCACCTCAGAGGTGGCTGCGGCTGGAATAGCTCTTGTCATCAGCCCACCCTCCATCCACCAAACTCCAAGTCTCACAGTCACCCCTGACACTTTTCAACCCATTCCTTTCATCAAAATTCACAGGTTCCCTGTCTCAGCACTCAGTTCTGCAACCAGGCATGGATACCCTTGTGGGTCTGAGTAGGTACTAACTAGTATTCAAACACAGTAACACAGTGGGCAGTTAGCTGAGCACTTACTGTGTGCCAGGCACAGTTCTAAGTACTACTTACTTTTGGCCAGTGGTGATAGAGTGTCTGCCTAGCTAGAGCAAGGCAATGTGTTCAAACCCCAGTACCATCAAACAACCCAAAAAGACCAGAATACTTTTAGGCTGGTGATTGGTAAATGGACACATCCTCACCAATCAACTTCATCCTACTCCTGAATGCCCCAGCCAGAACCCAGGGGGATCACCATTGATGCTAACTGCATCATCTGGAGGGATCCCAGGGGCAGCCCTTGAGTGCATGGTAAAAGGCAGAAAGAACCTCAGCCTGTAGTTGAAAATGATAGAAGTACATGGTAGCTTTTCATTCAAACTCTGAGGATCTCAGAGTACTTCATTCTAACGTGGAGGAAAGGGAGGCAAAGAGGGTCCTGCCCGAGAAGCTCAAGTTCACAGAAGTAACTTAGCAAAACATGCACCTTCACCCACTTCTTCTTCAGAGGCAACCATACTGCTGAGTGGGTACAACCAAGGGAGCCTCTAATAGAGTGCCACTTGCATGTGTGCTAAAGCATGCAGCAAATTATCTTCCACACACTCTCTTCAATGATCCAGGAGGGATGCAAACTTCTCCAGCAACCCACATATTGTTTTCCACGTGGGGAGCCTGGGGGCTGGGCCACTGCAAGGCAGCTCCAGTTGCCCAGAACCCAGTGAGAATGACAAAGCTCTGCATGGCTTCTGGGAGGAGCATGAAGGTATGGGAGAGGTCTGAAGGACAAGTGCTGGAAAGAGGTCAGACAGTCCAGTCAGCCATATGGATACTTGATTTAAGAATTGATGCCTTGCAGGCCACGAGAACCTGAGATACCCCCCGAAATGCCCTTCCTGAGGAGGGGTTGATGGCACAGGTACAGGCTTTACCAGCATTTCTCCAGACAGCACCTCCAGCAGCTTGATAAGCATCCGCCCATCTCTCAGGTCCTTGTAGAGGTCACTGATGCGGCAGGACACGCGGGCCAGGTGGGAGTTCACCCATTTCGTGAAGGTCTTCTTCTGAACGACTTCCCGTTCATCTGGGGGGAGGGGAGAGAAGAGCCTGGAGTGAGTTCCTGAGGCTGGCAGAATTATGTGACATGGTGCCAAGAAGTTTTACTTTAATCCCAGGGTCACCCATGCCTGGCAGAGAAGGCTGATGTGTTCATTCCTTCCCCTTTGTGGAGCACGCATGATTCCTGGTAACACAGGGCCACAGGCCATCAGGACTAAGGCCATGAAGAGATCACTCCCACCACCAACACTCTGCACCCAATAGCAAGAGACCCTCTGATTCACACGTTTCCTGTTGCCAGGCAGCATATTCTGTACTATTATGCCACTGAATTCAGGTTTCTTTTCCACCCTCCCTCCCTTCTTTCCTCTCTTCCTCCCTTTCTTTTTTGCAGTACTAGAGTTTGAACTCAGGGCCTCATGCTTGCTAGGCAGTTGCTCTACCACTTGAGCTATACCACTAGCTCTTGAATTCAGATTTTGATGCCAGGTTTACCTATCAATCTGTCCATTTACCCATTCAGCAAATATTCCCTTTGTCTGGAATGCTCTCTTAGACTTTCTACTATTCTCTGTCCCTTTTACCTAACTCTCACTCATTATTTAAGATTCAGTGTAAATAGACTTCTCAAAGAGCTTTTCCTGACCCCCTTCCTGAGGTGGGCTCCCCATGTGTGCTCTGATCCCTGCATTTGCATTTTCAAGTGTTAGTTGAAGATAGGTCTTTCCTGAAAGACTGGCTCCTTGGGTCCAGGGAAGTCTGGCTTGTTCACCTCTCCATTCCCAGAGCCTAGAATGGGTACATGGTAGGTCCTCCACTGATACAAACACACTTATTCAGTTCTTATTATGTAACCAGACCTCTGCTATGCCTGATGACACATAAAGGTAAAACAAATTGCCTTCAAGGAGTTCCTGGCAGATAAAGGAGAATGATAAGCAAAGGAAGTTAGGATATGCAGAACTACAATCCACACTAGGTTAAGGACCATGAGGCTTGGGTTGGAAGCTATCCATTGCATTGTGCAATCTTTCTTACTCCCACCCTGGCAGGCAGGGGTTCTTAATCTTCAGATCTGCAATGAGGACAAGGTACTCCCACACTAAATCAGCACTGACCCAAACCAAGCCCCTAGCCTGTGTTGTACCAGTTCAGGTGGGAATTTACTGGCACCTCTGTACAAATAAATGCTGGTCAGAGGTTCAGGTTAGGGCTGGAGAGAAGACAGAAGACTGGGATAAGCAAAGAAAGGGGGAAGAATGGAACCAGAGAAAAAGAGAGGTAAGAGTGGCAAAAAGAAGGAAAAGAAAGAGGAGAGAAGACAGAAGGCAGCATGAACCCTCATTCTGTTTGGTTTTGTGAACAGTGTATGACAGTGAGCTCCTGTGTACTTGGGTTTGAAGATTCAGGGCAGGAGCTGACCTGGCAGTGTGGCTGGGCCTGGGGCCCTTTGGAATCCCTGAGGAGTGTGTGAGTGTGTGTGTGTGTGTGTGTGTGTGTGTGTGTGTGTGTGTGTGTGTGTGTGTCTATCTGTACATGTGGGGAGAAGTCATAGCCAGGGTGGACATAGAGTGGCCCAGCCAGGAGGGAATGTCAACACTGCTGGAGGAGGCTAAATGTGTGCTCACTCAACTGAGCACAAACCGTGGAAGGGTTGGCTTTTTAAATTATTAAATATCTGACTTAACAACAACAAAAAGAGGAGCTCAGCCAGTACTGCCTCAAGGGTATAACGCTGGCAGTTCCTGAGGCTCACGGCACCAAATTCCTTCCTACTTCATGGCTATTTTAGTGTTAGGAACTCAGCCTCTTTATTCATCTGCTCATTCATTCAGCAAATGTTTACTGTACAGCCATCAGGTGCCAGGCGCTGGATAGAGGCAGGGAATCTAAGGACAAGACAGACTCTCTTATAAATATAACGGGTATTTGAGTCATATATTAGCAGTTCTATGGCAGCCACCTAAACAAGATTTCTAAGAAGAGGAAAAGTACTACTGTGGACTACACCAATCTTAAATAAATGTAAAATTTAAATGGCACTTGTTCATTCTGGGCAAAGTTTCATAGGGAAACTACCATCTTACCCTTTGGGCAGCAGCAAATTAAAACATTTTTGTAATTTCAAGGACTACTTTAGCAAAATGTAACAGAAGTTTTGATGACATGTGGGACAGAAAGCAACCAGATTTATTCTGGGGGATCTTGGGAGTCAACAGAACCAGGTACAGCCCCTCCTAGGGCTTTCCCTAGAACCCAGATCTGTTCTTTCAATCAGATGTGAAAGCTTTGACTAAAGAACTTAAAATTTTAGCCCCTTTAGAGGTGAGTGCCCTGAAAAGCTATAGTCTCTTTTTCCATCCTAGTTTTCCTGCATTTCAGGATACGAACACTAAGATCTGTTTATTTGTGCCTGGCAAAGTGTAAGGACATGCTTTTTAGCTGGGGACACAGAATTTAATTCTAGGCTTGTTGGGGTGGCACATATATTGGTGCAGAAATACCCTCAGACCCTAGAATGCTGGAGCTGCAGGTTTAGAGCATGGCAGGTGGCTTCCTGGCTGCCTTAACTTGAAGACTGGGGGGCAATTACCCAGAATGCCCAGCACCCTGAAACACTCTGCAGCGTTGAGACTCGGGAAAAATTCCGAGAGGCTAATGATGATCGAAAGGAGAGGAAAGGCCCAGGGATGTGGATTAATTTGCATGAGCTTGTTTGCTCTGGCTGTTCCAATCAGCATCCTTGGCACACTTACTCCCCCTCAGCCCAGACACGCCTCAGGAGTCTTCCAAGTGCAGAAGAAGTCCGTGGCCCACAGCCAGCTGGGCTGGGAACCCTGGTAGTATGGACAAGAGGGGAAAGCGACTGTGCACCAGGCCTGATGTCTCCAGGGAATCCAGACCATTCTACTGGGACCCACTTGGGGAAGAAGGCCTCAGGAAGGCTCTACCAGGAGCAGGACTTATTTCCAGAATCCTATCCCTGCCCATGCAGGAAAGAATGAGTGAGAATGAATTGGCTCACGCCTCTGCTGCCATTGAACCCAGGGCCTCTCCATTTCTCTCTGCTCTTATTCCTTTCCCTTTTCTTTTCAGGCCATGGCCACCCTCATTCCCCCATGTGTTAGTGTTATCCTAGAATATTAATCTTCCCCCCGATCACCAGGCCCAGAATTATTGTCAGGGTATTGAGATGAGTGACTTCTCTCTTGTACCCCCTTTCAAAGGTTTAGCTTGAAGTTAAAAATAACCATGACACTGAGACCCTCAAATATTCATTCTCTGACAAGAGAGTTCACACATGGAAAGTGTGGCACACAGAAAGCATGCTGTTAACGTGAGCTCTCGTTGCTATCCTCACCACCACTATTACTATGTCCAAGAGTTTGTGCTTAGAAGCTCACGATTCCCAGGCCTCAGGATCTAGTCGAGGAAACAAGACATAAACTCATTAGTTAATTTTGCAACCATGCAATGAAAAATGGCAGTTCATTTTACTAACACAAACACTATCACAGGGTAATGTTAGGTTAGTTCCCAGATAAGTGACACCTATGACAAATGCTTCTGTGGGGTCAAAGAGAAGATATTTCTAATTAGAGTTGTCAAAGGGAGTCCTTGCAAAGAAAAGCACTTTGGACAGGCAGAAGAGGAGGAGAGGCAAGGAAACAGAGTGAGCCTGAGCAGACAAGCATGAAAGGATGGAGGAAGCTTACTCACCAGCTACTGAGTAGCTACAGGTTAGAAGACAACACATGGAAAACAGGTTGTGGAAAATAAGTTTTCAACACATGTGGAAGGGCTGGGGTCGTAGCTCAATTGCTAGAATGCTGCCTAGCATGCACGAAGCCCTGGATTCAATATCTAGTACCATAAAACAAACAAACAACCCAGGGTATGGAAATCCCTAGAATGAGAGGCTTAGAAGTTTAGTGTTAAAGGTTCTGGGTTTGATCTCCAGTCCTAAAAAAAAAAAAAACGTTTATGGCTAGAGGCTTGACTCAAACCATGGAGTACCTGCCTAGCAAGAACAAAGCCCTGAGTTCAAACTCTAATCCCTCCCACTCCCCAAAAAAGTTTAGATTTAATTCTACAGGTAAAAGAAATCATGCAAAGTGTGGTAAAGGTAATTTCCTGAAATATTAATTTGAAAGGACCCCTGTGGGTTAATAAAAAGACAAAGGGTTTAGATTACATTTTAAAAGAAGTATATAAAATCTAGATAGAGAAAAACGTAAAAGGTTCCTGAGGCACACAAAAGAAAATCTGAACAAATGAAAGGTATGCTGAGTAATTAAATAAAAAAACTCAGTATCATGAAGACTTTGATTTATCCCCAACTAGTGTATTTAAATATATTAATAGTATTTTAGTAGTATATTAATAGTATTTAAATATATTTAAATTTGGGAGAAACTAAATTATTATAAATTATTCAAAAGTTCATTGGAAAAATAAGCAAAGAAAAATAACCCGGAAAATTACAAATAATAAGAGTAATGAAAAGCAACCAACCTTCCCAGATGTTTTTCCTATTAAAGAATAGTATAAACTTACAGGAAAACTGTGTGGGACTAGCATATGAGAGATGTGGAACAGAAACAGTCCCAAGTACACAGAGGCATTTAATACCTGATAAAGGTACATTTCAAATACTAAGGGGGAAGATGGATTATTTAGTAAAAGGTGTTGGCAAAACTAGATAGTCTTTTAGGAAAAGCTAAGTTAAATTCACAATTCATACCCCAGGATAAATTTCATTTGGATCAAAAACTGAAATGCACAAAATGAAATCATAAAATGCTAAAATCAGCTATGGTAGAATGTTTTTTAGAAATAATGCTAAGCTGGGCACCAGTGGCTCATGTCTGTTTTCCTAGCTACTCAGGAGGCAGAGATCAGGAGCATCTTGGTTTGAAGTCAGCCCAGGCAAACAGTTTGTGAGACCCTACCTCGAAAAAACCCATTGCAGAAAAAGGTTGGCGAAGTGGCTCAAGTGGTAGTGTGTCTGCCTAGCAAGAATGA